TATGTGGGTTGTTAAACCCCTTTTCATTTTATCAAAAGATATAAAAAAAATGACATGTGACCTTGTTTATAGATCTACCTCTACTGACAAATTTTATATATTTACAGACATATTTGTATGACATATGAACATCATCAATATATCATAATGTGACAGCTAACTTGTCACAAATTGATGTCAGACAAAAAAAAAAAATTTGATTTATTCACCTTGAATACCAGGATGTAATATACCTGACTTATGTCGAAGGTAGATATTTTCAACAATGTAATTTACATGGATGAGTAGACTTACGGTGCTGGAGGGTAAAACGAAATAAATAAACCCATTGTATAGTAGTTTGGTGTTAAAAACCACTGATCTCAATCTCATTTCCATATCTCTCTCTCTCTCTCTCTCTCTCTCTCTAGCGGTGGACACACTAGCCGAATGATTCATTCGGTGTAGAAATTCGCCTAGTGTGTCCACTGTCATTCGGCCGAATTTCTATTCGGCCGAATGATTCGCCCGAATCAAACAGGTTTGATATATTCAGCCGAATATAGAATTCATTAGCCAATCACCACTCATATCGAGAAGTCACGTGATAGATTGAAGACATAGACGCCGCCATGTTTAATCATGTGACGTGAAAGGTGATGCAATCGACAGGTTGAATCGGGCGAAGCATTCGGCTAGTGTGTCCACCCATTCGGCGGAATAAAATTCGGCGCCAATTGATTCGGCCGATCGATTTGGCCGAACGATTCGGCTGATGTGACCAGTGCAGCTCTCTCTCTCCCTCCCACCCTCCTTCGTTTCTCTCCCACTGCTAAAGACTCCCTACTTGCAATCGAATTGTTGAAATTAAATTGAACCATATGTTAGTCCCGAAATGACTCTCTGTATCATAAGGTTTGTCATTGAGTCAACTGGTGTGGTTTTGATTTGATTTCGTGGTTTTGATTCCCCGGTTGTACTGTCAAGAAGTAGGGTCCTATGTCCAATCTCGTGGGTTTTCTCTAGGTTTTCCAGTTTTCTCCCACTGCTAAAGACCCCTACGCGAAAGCGAATCATTGAACTCAAACTGAACCATATGTTAGTCTCAAAATGACCTAGTTTGTGTCGAGTGGACATTAAACCTCCTCTCTCTCTCTCTCTCTCTCTCTCTCTCTCTCTCTCTCTCTCTCTCTTTCTCTCTCTATGATTTCAGAATCAGACAGATGAAGTCTCTGTTTTTATGGCAAGTTAATTGTGTCACTTGGTTATAAAAAATTATTGCTATTGTGTTAAATTATTTATAGTATGATGGAGGCAAGTAACAGCTGTTTAATACAAACCATGGTTAACTGCTGACCTCTTTAATGTCATCTTTTTCTATTAAATGATTCATATTGTTGTTAACCAATCAAAAGACAATCGTATAATGATCTCTTTTCACTTTAATTATGTCTCGCTATATTGGGCGTATCATCTGTTTTATTCGTCAAATATTCATAGAGTTTACAAAAATTTCTACGTTTTTCTGATTGGTTTTATTTTATTTTATGAGCTAAACAATTTGGTTAATAATTAAAGGACAAAGATGGAAAATTGACTTATATGTTCTGATGTACATTGTAGTAATTGAATATTAAAGGATGTCTTTGTAGTTTGAGGGGTGGGTGGCTAAACCCTCTTATTACCATATGTTAGTCTCAAAGAGACAAAAAGAAAAGTATGGACGAGCTGTTGAGCCTCCATTCTATTGTAGTAAAGGTTCAAGTGGGTAAGACGCTGGCTTGCTAGCTCGAAGGTCGGGTGTTCGTTCCCTGCATTGGCCGAGAAAGTTCATCCAGATTTTCCTGCGTGGTTTTTCCTTGTCAGTGATGCAGGACGAAGGGCCTGACAAGGACAGCTGTCTAGTCGTTCGGATGGGATGGAAAACCGAGGTCCCGTGTACATATTGGTATGCATGTAAAAGATCCCTTGGCAGTTATTCGATATAGGCCATAGTGTCGCTGTCCAGGCAAAATTTCCCTCAAAGCACACTGTATGGTTTATGCCCGTCTTCATTAGCCCAAGCAGAGCAAAAACAGTAGGACGTTAAACCCCATTTCATTTCATTTCAAGACACCATACTGTATTGTATTATTTTGTTGTAGTGTGTATTATCAGTGTGTATTATGAGTATAATGGTGTGAAGGGTATTGATTATAAATTGTAACATGATGTTGTATAAATAATAGATTAATATAATATACCTGACAATCTATATATAGATCATATACTCTCAATATTACACAATTATAATGTATATACTGTTATATAATATTACACCTTACTATTATTCAATATTACACGATTATGCTGTATTGTTATTCAATATTGCACCTTACTATTATTCAATATTACACCTTATTGTTATACAATATTACAAAATTATACCTTATTGTTATACAATATTACAAAATTATACCTTATTGTTATACAATATTACACATTTATACATGTACATTATACACTATCACACAATTATACCTTATACAATACATTATTACACAATTACACCTTATTGTTAAACTTGTACAGAGAAAAATAAACAAATTTCTCTAGATTATACCATGGGTACCAAAACTCTATTTAGATTCTATAAAACAGCCATGATTACAGAACTGTTCTTTGACCACACAGAACTGTTCTAAGGTACCACAGAACTGTTTTCCAACCACACAGAACTGTTCTAAGATCTGCACCTTCACATGTAGAACTGTTCCCTTCACCCACAGAATTGTTTGAGTCCACAGAACTATCTGTGTTATCCAGTCTCACGGAACTATCTGTGTTATCCAGTCGCACGAAACTATTTGTGTTATCCAGTCCCACAAAACTATCTGTGTTATCCAGTCCCACGGAACTGTCTGTGTTATCCAGTCACACGGAACTATCTGTGTTATCCAGTCCCACGGAAATGTTTTCCTGGTGATTGCTTATCTCTAGTTAAAATCAAGCGGACATATTGTATTAATAACCTGCGTGTGTAACAGATTATGATGTATTTACCTGGGGAATTAAACCCACGTATTGTTGAACAATCACAAAATATATAATATCAGAATATGCAATTTAATTATACACAATGTACACTCTTTGTCAAACATTATAGCTCTGTTGCCTGTGTCATTATCTGTCCCTGAGGTTTCCCATTTCACAGTCTGACCGATTTCATGTATCTGAAATACTTGCAAAGCAAAATTAACTTAAAGTAGCTAAGTCTCTAACTCAATATCATCCAAAGTAACGCAAGGTCAAATTTGCTTGATACAGAGGAGAGTATCCTCGTCGAATTGTCACTTAGTATTAAACTCAGTAATTGTGTATCCATAAAATTGTACCTTGTGTTAATATTTTCAATTACTAAATGCCAATCAAAGAAGATCATCAAAAGTCTTCAACATTAAAAACATGAATTATATGTCAATTTAAATCAACATTGTTGTGATCTTACTGGGAAAAGATATTGAGTTAGAGACTTAGCTACTTTAAATGTACCATATTTCTAAACGTGTCTTACTACGCCTCAGTGACTAAATATCTATAACACGAGGTAATGAGGCTTAGACTATTTACCCACTTTCATTAAATATTTAGGAACTGTTTTCGTTGTGCGATGTTGAAGGTGTAAATGTAGAATATAAATCGTATTATATGTTCGGGACCCACTAGGTTAATCCATGTCTATTTCTAGCTGTAGGTAAAGTGAGGAGAACATTTCAATAATTCAACTCATTCTGCAATTACCCGTTCAGTTTTTATTGCGTATTGCGGATTGCATACAACTGTTGCCCCATGATGGCTGATTGTATTTGAAATGAGAAAAGTGTGTATTTTTGTCTACGTTTTAAAAGACTGTGATCATTATTTTAGAGATTTTAAATACCTTGCAAACTGAAAGTAGATTTCTCAAAGAAAGAACAGGCCTCATGTTCACAAAGCATTCTCAGACCTAATTTAAGAATCTACTTAAAATTCTTCTCTTCATTAAACATACATTATGACGTCACATTAATAATGACGTCATTGTATTAATCATATTAAACATACATTATACAAGAGCTAAATCTGTCTATTGCACGTCTTTCTTTAAGCCTAAAATGTTATCTAAATTATTAATTAAACATTAAATAACTTATCCAGACCATATCAACTCTTGATGTCATCGCTAGCCTGCGACGTTTATTGGATTAGGTTCCGATTTGCTGTTCGACCTCCACTCGTAACTTAATCATGAAATGGATAATCGAGACTATGTTTTTTATCAGACAGACTTTAGTAATGATGATCAAGGCTAGGCTGAAAATTCAATCGCTAAAATCTCGGTTCAGAGTGAATCAATTTGACTGAAATTTTCAGCAAATTCCCTTTACATTATCTAGTTTTTAACTATTATAGTGAGAACTTCCAGCTCTTTATCTAATCTCCCATAATGTATCTTTAACTAAAATATAGTCCTGTATAAAATGTTTGTTGTTTTAATGAATCAAATACATCAATAAGAAACTATGTAAAGTTTTGTGTTTCTGGATCAAAGATATTTCTCATAAACTGTGATTGAAAGTTGAGTAGATTCTTCTCCATAGACAATGCTTTGTGAACTTGGGGCCAGTTCATGAATGATTCAATTTTGATCAGTATGTACAATGGATTTTGTAACAGATATTGTAGTATGTATTGGAATGATCTTGGCTGTATTGCAATATATTGTGTCACAATAACACATCTTGGATCCTAATGATCGCAAGAATTGACTATTCCGCAATAATACCCATCTAAATTCAAAAAATGAAATGTTTATCTGGCACACTGATTTGTCTTTTTTATTAATATTATTAATACATGTCCGGCACTAAGTTGAAAATGTCGGGTACTATTTCATTTGTCAGGTACATCTAAAACTGTTATTTCCAGGCCTGCATATTATTAGCAGACAACGTTTCAATGTATTCCATGTTTTAATGTTTTGCGTTATTTATATTTTTCAGGTTTGGTACAAGGTAGTAAACCCCCACCATTAACCATGCTGAGTCCTGCTGGATCAAAACTTGCAAGAAACACCGCAACGGTTCCACCTCTGAATCAAGTCTCTCCTAGCAACGGTTTGAATTCCGTTAGCAACAATTCGGCACTGAATGCCACACGTACGTCCAGTTTCGCCGCCGCGCTGAGGAAATTGGCCTATCAGGCTAAAGATCCTGCCGGTATTTTTTACATAAAATCGTTACCATTTAGCTGTTGTATGGTGGCTTGCCCTAATTTGGTATATTTGGACATCATCAAGTTTTCTTAATGATGATAGCTTTTTTTTATTTCAATTTTTCTTGTAGGAGTGGGGGGGGGGGGGACCCTTGTCAGTATTTTTTTTTTTCTGACCAATATTTTCACAGCTTGCTAATGTTCTTCTCTTAATAAAAACAGGGATATTTTGGGTTTTTTTAGGAAAAATAATATGTTAGTTTCAAAAACAAGTTCTGACAATTCTCATTACATTCCACTCTCAGACATCAGGACATCCCTTACCCCAAATATTTAATGGTTCAAGTCCAGTTCCAAGTGGCCAGGGGTAGCATCTTTTTTGTCTAGTTCTTCAGATGGGACCCAAAAAAATGGGTCCACCTGTGTACCTGTTGACGTGCACGATAAAGGATCGACTGTCCAGGTAAAATTCTTCTATATACACCAGATCACAGGAAAAAATAACCATATGACAAGACATTCAACCCCATTGCATTCTGAGGGGAGTTGGATGGCCAAGTTGTTAGCGCGTGTACATTGTATCACAAGGTCTACCATTGAGTCAACTGGCATGTGTTTTCGATTCCCTGGTTGTACCTGACAAGGAGTAGGGTCGCCTGTCTAACCTTGTGGGTTTTCTCCGGGTCCTCCGGTTTCTTCCCACTGCTAAAGACCCCTATTCGTAAGCGGATTATTGAAATAAAAATTGAACCATATGTTAGTCCCGAAATGATCTAGTTTGTGTCAAGTGGACGTTAAACCCATTTCTCTCTCCATCCACTTCATTCTCCAGGTATCTGTATATTAGTCCCAAAATGACCAATTGTGTGTTGACTGGATGTTAAACCCCTCTTTTTTTACCAACCTGGATATTGGGGTCCCAATTTATATTAATCATCAAGACCATGTTGCCATATACATGCCTGTTTTTCAGGTGTGGGGTAGTGTAGTAACATTCGAGGGGGGGGGGGAAGGGTTATTGATTTGTCTTAAGAACTTAATTTTATTGCCAAGACTGTAGTATGGACTGTAATTATTAGGGTGTGTTGTACATGAGATAGGGTATATTTACCCATCTCCCTTCACCCCACCCCTCATGAACACCCAGGGTCTGTAATTATTATGGTGTGTTGTACATGAGACAGGGTATATTTACCCATCTCCCTTCAACCCACCCCTCATGAACACCCAGGGTCTGTAATTATAGGGTGTGTTGTACATGAGACGGTATATTTACCCCCGCCCCCTCAACCCACCCCTCATGAATACCCAGGGTCTGTAATTATTAGGGTTTGTTGTACATGAGATAGGGTATATTTACCCCTGCCACCTCAACCCACCCTTCATGAACACCCAGGGTCTGTAATTATTAGGGTGTGTTGTACATGAGACAGGGTATATTTACCCATCTCCCTTCACCCCACCCCTCATGAACACCCAGTGTCACTTTTGATTTGAGGAGTTCACACACAGACTAACAAACTTTTGTAGTTGTGGTGTATTTTAAAAGGGGATTTAATCCAGGGGATTAAAGAAGCTAAGATTAACAGAGGGATACTAATCTACACTATGCCTGATAGCACACTAAAAATAGACTGATATAAATTAAATAATGGAAAACAGTATTTGAAGGTTCTTTAATGCATATAGCTGTAACTATGACTTGATTCAATGACTTGACCCGCCCCCTTTTTTATCGAATTTAATTGTCTTTAATTTTCTTCTCAGCTTATTAAAAATATTTTTCACTTTAGTGTTGTGAACACCCTTAATTGTTTTGCATATCAAATAACTTTTATGTAACTCATTGTATTTGTGGAACCCTCTTTAAATTTATATTATCTTTTTTTTTTTCTTTTTTTTTTTTGCTTTTTGTCTTTCTAAATATTATTTTTATTGCATTGAAATATTTTAATCTTTTGTTTCAATAGGCAAGGAACATGACAATCTTTTAAAAACGGTTCCAAAGTAATCAAATGTTATAATGAATTAAGATCCCTGGTGCTAGTATGAAAACAATTCCTTTTCTTATTTAATCCTTCCGATGAGGTGTGAGGGTGGGGGGGGGATGGCTGAATGGTTAGTACGTGCGCGCTGTATCATACGGTCTGTCATTGAATCAACTGGCGGGGTTTCTATTCCCCGGTTGTACATGACAAGGAGTAGGGTCGCCTGTCCGGTTTCCTCCCACTGCTAAAGACCCCTACGCGTAAGCAAATTATTGAAATAAAATTGAACCATATGTTTGTCCCGAAATAACCTAGTTTGTGTCGAGTGGACGTTAAACCCAATTTCTCTCTCTCTCTCTCTCCTCCCGATGAGGTGCGTAACACGCGGTCCTGTATACATCCTGGGGCACAGGTGAAATAGCCATTGACAGTTCAATTACTGTTTGGAAAAATTTCCCTTATAGCACACCGTCAACATTGATCCCGGGTTTCAACAGCAAAGTAGGGAGCCACGGTGGCTCAGTGAGTAAGATGCTGGCTCGCTAACCAGGTCCTGTCTTCGATCCCTGCGTAGGCCGAGAAAGTTCATTAGGATTTCCTGACCTGGTTCCTCCTTGTCAGTGGTGCAAGACTGAGGATCTGGCAAAGGACAACATATAGTTGCTTGGATGGGATGAAAAACCGAGGTCCCTTGGCGGTTGGAATTCACTATAAGAGTAGGCCTTAATGTAGCTGTCCATCTATATGGCTGATAAACAATAATACAATCTTGTAATACGATAAATAAAACGTTTCTTGTAATAACGATTAGAATAGTTTTATTCTAGCGCCAGTGGGTATACAATAAACGGTAAAATTACATTTAGATTGGGCATGATGGTAACTTGATATTTCACGTTTGAGAAGATACACTATGGATATAAACTGTTAATTAATTGTTTATTAATGTTATAATGAATATATAATTGATTTATACCACAGTTAATATCTTTATAAGATATTTTATTTACCAGTAAAAAAATTATATAAATGAAAAAACTTACAGAGATAAATAAAAACATGTAATATGAAGAACTTTCTTCCAAAACTCTTTAAATGCCATGTGAAATTTCAGCATTACAGCCCTAACAATTAAATTATACTTTCACTTCAATATTTTGCTGATCAATCAATTTTTAACATTATAGCAAGATATTTATTTCAATGTTACATATTTAGTAAGACCAGGTCAGGTCTATAGAGTAGTGGTTTAACACGTGCGCCTGACATCATAAGTGGCGGGGTGACATGAAATAGGGTCACCTGTCCAACCTGGTGGGGTTTTTTCTGGGTCCCACTGCTAAAGACCCCTACTCGTAAGCCAATTATTGAAATAAAATTGAACCATATGTTAGTCCCAAAATGACTCAGTTTGTTGTGTGGCCGTAAACCCCATTTCTCTGTCTTTCTCGCTCCTTAGGGTTAAAAAAAAAAGGATTAAAGATAGGTTCAATTTTAGAAAATCAGATCACATGACAGACATCTATTAATTTGATTGGTTAAGATTTATCAACAAGGCATTAGACGCTTGGCCATATTTTAAGGTGTTTTGGAAGAGAGTTATTGATATATTAACATTAGAAATGATTTTATTTTGTTAACAAGAATTATCTCCCCTTATGATTAATCAGTGTTTCTGCTTTCAGATGATGTCATCAAACACTCTAGTCCAAACAGTAACAACAGTAGCCCAAGGTCATCAACGCCTAAACGTGCTCCTCCACCCCTCGTATATTCTAGTCATACTTCGACCTTGACATCTCCACCCGTTGTTACCATAGCACCCACTCCATCTCACCAGTCAGCTCTTGCTAGTGACATCAGACACGTAAGTTATTGGCATTTAAGGGGGCATTATGGGAGATTAACTAAAGAGTTGACAGTTCTCGCTATGATTGTTAATAAAATAGATAACGTAAATAGAATAGGCTGAAAATTTCTGTCGAATTGCTCCACTCTGAACCGAGATATTGGGATTTGAATTTTTAGTTTAGTCTTGGTTGTCATTACTGATGTTGGTATGATAACAAAGTCTTGATTGGCCATTTTAACATTAAATCATCCATCACAAAATGTTTTCAAATCCGCTAAATATCGTAGGCTAGCAATGCCATCTAGAGTTGATTATGGTCTGGATAAGTTAATTAATGTCTAATTAGTGATTTAGATAACATTTCAGGCCTAAAGAAAAACCTGCAATAGGCAGATTTAGATGTTGTATAATGTTATTTAATGGGCTATTGCTCTTAATCAGTTTTTAGTGTCTAGTAAATTCTTTTATAGCCAACAAAAGAACAAATATATGCCAACTCTAGTGGACTGCGCAAACTGTTGGCGTATGTTTCATTCCTGGCAACTTATATTTAAAAATGACTTGCTTTGCTGATCAGAACCATAAGATTTTGATTTTGGCTATTTTTCTTTTCTTTTCAGAATATAGACAGAATCCCATCAGGCCATAGCACATCATCAAACTACGAATCTCTAGGTCTTAAACAGGAACGTGATCAACGTCCGTTATCCCGTCACTCGCGCGAGGATGATAGATCGAGTAAAGAAGGACATTCACTGCCACATTCAGCTAGAATGTAAGTAGATCTGTTTCATCATCTTTCTGGATAGCCGAATGGTTAGCACGTGCATGCTGTATCATAAGGCCTGTCATTGAGTGAACTGGCATGGTTTCGATTCCCCTGTTGTAAGGGACAAGGAGTAGGGTAGCCTGTCCAACCTTGTGGGCTTTCTCCAGGTTCTCCGGTTTCCTCCCACTGCTAAAAACCCCTAGTCACAAACAAATTATTGAAATAAAATTGAACCATATGTTAGTCCCTAGATTGTGTCGAGTGGACGTTGAACGCCATCTCTCTTTCTCTGGTCAGATAGTTGTTCAGGACAAAAGTTTACAAGAATCTGACTACCCTATTAAATATATCTCATATTATCTCTTTCATTTACTATTAGATTAAAATACAGATCTATATTTCTTTTCGATGGCCTACACTTCATGAAGATCTGACCAGTTGTACATGTCGTGTCGGGGGGTCGTACAAGTGGCTTTTGACTCTATGACGTCAGACATTGATTAATGAATCAGCGTTAATTTCTAGTGGTTTACCCCCAGTTCTGTGCATCGCATGCCAAGAAATCGCCGTAACAGACCGTTTCATTGGCTAATCCCTCACTTCAACCAAAACAGCGGTAACATAACAAATCTTCCAGATCCAAGTGTAGTAAAGACAAGTAAAACGAAATTTTAAACTATAAAAACGAAAATGAATAGGATCTGTGTTTTAATCAGATTGGCACTGTTATTTTTATTATACGCCCACATGGAAATGTGGTCGTATATTGCCGTCGCCCCCGTCCGTCCTTTCGTCCGTCTGTCCGTGTTACGGCACTTGTTTTAGTTTTTAGAACCTTGTGAACCCTCAAACGACGAAATTTATGATGTCATCTGTATGAAATTGTCTATTAAATGCCCTTAATTACCTACAAAAGAATAAATATGTGACAACCCTTGTCAACCGCTCGGACAATTTAGCTGCTGTGGGCGTATGTTTTGTTGCCTGGCAATCTATCATTTATAAATGTTATTTTTAGTACGCCACATTCTAATCCTGGTCTATTACAATCTGGTAGGGATGAAAGTTTAACTCGAGGATTTCAGCCATATAGACATGGTGAAGATATCCGACAACCTGTACCCCCAGGTTTTGGAATGGATCCTGCCTACGCTGCCTATCACTCAGCATTGCTGGCTTCACATTATTCTCATCCAGCTTACAGGTAATTTGTTTCTTAATTAAATGAACTTGTATTATAGTCCGTGTGGAATATGAAATGAAATGGGGTTTGACATCATACTGTTCTGCGCCATACAGTGTGCTATTTGGGAAATTTTGCCCTAGCAGCGGCTCTACGGCCTACTCTTATAGCGAATTCCAACTGCCAATGTATACACGTGACCTCTTTTTTTTGTCTCATCTGAACGACTAGGCAGCTGACCTTGTCATATGTCTTGGGGAGGGGGGATATCCAAATGGTTAGCGTGAGAGCGCTGTATCATAAGGTCTGTCATTGAATCAACTGGCATGGTTTCGATTTCCCTGGTTGTATTGGGCAAGAAGTAAGGTCACCTGTCCAACCTCGTGGGTTTTCTCCAGGTCCTCCAGTTTCCCCTCCACTGCTAAAGACCCCTATGCGCAATCAAATTATTGAAATAAAATTGAACCATATGTTAGTACCGAAATGACCTGGCTTGTGTCGAGTAGGCGTTAAACCCCCATCTCTCTCTCACTCCAAGCAAACTACGCTCCCACCAAGGATCGAAATCACCACCACAAGCCATAGGTAACTGGCAATCCTACTTTTTGTTTTTCGTCTGTCATTTAGGAATTCTTAATTCTTGGTTAACTACAATATTACAAAAGTTGAATTTTTAAAAGGAATATTAGTTCAAAAAATGGTTCCCCGTCTTCATTAGCCCAGTTTAGGAGCAGTACAGTAGGTCGTTAAACTCCATTTCATTTCCAAAAAATTGTTCAATTTCTCTCAACATTGAGCGTATGATGGTATAAATGTATATGGTGTCACAATTCCCAAGATGCCTATGATGACATCATGGTTCATATACATAAATTTTGTTATCCCGGAACTTTTATCATGAATTATTTACAAGGATTGGTTTCGGTTCTTCATCGAATCCAAACTCACTTGCTCTTCCGCCCTTTTCTTCCTCTTAGTGGGGGGTGGATGGCCGAAAGGTTAGCACGTGCGTGCTGTATCACAAAGCCTGTCATTGAGTCCACTCGCATGGTTTGGAATCCCCGGGTGTACGTGGCAAGGAGTAGGGTCGCCTGTCCAACCTCGTGGGTTTTCTCCGGGTCTTCCGGTTTCCTCCCACTGCTAAAGACCCCTGCGCGCAAGCGAATTATTGAAATAAAATTATACCATATGATAGTCCCAAAATGACCTAGTTTGTGTCGAGTGGACGTTAAACCCCATTTCTCTCTCTCTCTCTCCTTCCTTTTAGATATTTGTTGATATTTTTAAAACATATGCGGCATAAAATTAAAAATGTTAGATATGTTATAATGCCTCTTGATTAATGCTTTTATTTTTATTTCAGATTTGAAGATCCTCTAATATTAGAGAGATATCGAATGATGCAACCATCGTTTATGCCCTTCTCTCATCCGACTATGATGGGACACCCTGGTGTTCACCCATTATTAGCTGCAGGAGGGCGGTATCCCCCAGAACTACTTCACCAGTATCCCTACATCTCCCCTAGTGCTGCTCAAAGTTTGGATCCACGATCTCCGGCTCTGTCAGTTGAACGGTATTAATATTTTCTTGTAATCAATTTGCTATAACAGATTGTTTTTGGGGAGTTGGATGGCCGAATGGTTAGCATGTGCATGCTGTATCATAAGATCTGTCAATGAGTCAACTGGCATGGTTTCGATTCCCTGTTTGTACGTGACAAGGTTTAGGGTCTCCTGTCCAACCTCGTGGGTTTTCTCCAAATCCTCCAGTTTCCTGCCACTGCTAAAGACCCCTATGTGCTAAAGACCCCTATGTGCAAGCTAATTATTGAAATAAAATTGAACCAGGTGTTAGTCCCAATATGACCTAGTTGGTACTACGGTTTTGACGATGGAATTGTACTTATATATAATATATATCTGTATTAAGGTTAAACAGTCGAAGGGGAATAACTCACAGTTCCATTCAAACGGACAATGTTGATTATTTTTGATTTATTTTTATATCAGAGCCCGACTTGAAGATGAAAGACAGAGGGAAATAGATCGAGAAAAAGAAAAAGATCGAGAGAAGGAACGAGAAAAAGAAAAATGGCGTGAGAAGGAACGAGAAAAGGAAGCTGCTCAAAGAATGCGAGAACGAGATTTAGAAAGAGAAAGTCAGCGGACTTTAGAGCGATTAAAATTAGAGCATGATCGAAGAGAATATATCACACAGAATGCTGGGCATGAATTCAATCATCGACAGGAACAACATCGAGAAGAATTAGCGGGTACAGGAAATTTTAACTTTTTATCCCTCGCCAAATGAAGTCAGTGGAGAGATATTGAAACGGGGATCTCTTCTTTTTATCCCTTGCCAAACGCAGTCATTGTAGAGATATTTAAATAGGGGACTGTCTATTGTAGGTCTTTCTTTAGGCCTGAAATTTTATTTAAACTATTAATTAGACATTTATTAACTTATCCAGACCATAATCAACTCTCGATGCCATAGGATATCTCCGATATTAAGTAGATTAGAACGGTTCAGCCATATTTTGATGTAATTTAAAAATGGAGCAGAGAGGCTTAGCTTTGAACAACCAGTACGGTGGTTGCAATTAATGCACACATCTTGTCAAACCTTCAAAGGCCAATATCTTCACTCGCAAATGAAAGTTTCAATATATTCATTTTGCACTATCTATTTTTCAAACTATTATAGCAAGAATAGCTATCTGTTTATGTAAATTTTACATAATGTATCTTTAATGGAGAGATATTGAAACGCAGCTGCCTGTGTAAAATTCCATTTTACTTGACTTTACTACACTAGGATCTGGAAGAGTTGTTACATAACCCATGTTATTGTTGATGTGAGGGATAAGCCAATGAAACGGTCTGTTACAGCGAGTTATTGGCATGTGGTGCACGGATCTGTGGGAACCCCAGTAGAAACATCAGCACTGGTTAGTAAATCAGTAAAGCATAGGGTCAAAAACTGCTCATACAACCCCTGACGCGACCTTCCACTACAACTGGTCAAATCTTCATGTAGTGGAGGCCATCGAAAGTATAAAAAAAATATAGATTGTATTTTATTCAGAAACTTGTGAAAAATCTCAAGTATTATTTTTTAAAAAAATTTTCAGCTGCCAAGTTTGGTTCGATCACACAAGGAACACCTCGTGATGTCCTATATAATGATAAATATAAATCACCACTTCCTCCGCATCATCACGATTATAAACGTACGTTACCTGATTCACGTCTGGATAATCATCATAAAACACCATCACATTTACTAGATGGTAGAAATCTCAATCAACAACGGGTAAGTTGAAGTTATTATATTCTAGCCAATCAAACATAGGTAACTCTAGCCAATCAAACATAGGGTAACTCTAGCCAATCAAACGCAGGGTAAGTTGAAGTTATTTTACTCTAACCAATCAAACATAGGGTAAGATGGAGTTATTTAACTCTAGCCAATCAAACATAGGGTAACTCTAGCCAATCAAACATAGGGTAAGTGGATGTTATTTTACTCTAGCCAATCAAACATAGGGTAAGTTGATGTTATTTTACTCTAGCCAATCAAACATAGGGTAACTCTAACCAATCAAACATAAGGTAAGTTGATGTTATTATACTCTAGCCAATCAAACATAGGGTAAGTTGAAGTTATTTTACTCTAGCCAATCAAACATAGGGTAAGTTGGAGTTATTTTACTCTAGCCAATCAAACATAGGGTAACTCTAGCCAATCAAACATAGGGTAAGTTGATGTTATTATACTCTAGCCAATCAAACATAGGGTAACTCTAGCCAATCAAACGCAGGGTAAGTTGAAGTTATTTTACTCTAACCAATCAAACATAGGGTAAGATGGAGTTATTTAACTCTAGCCAATCAAACATAGGGTAACTCTAGCCAATCAAACATAGGGTAAGTTGATGTTATTTTACTCTAGCCAATCAAACATAGGGTAAGTTGATGTTATTTTACTCTAGCCAATCAAACATAGGGTAACTCTAACCAATCAAACATAAGGTAAGTTGATGTTATTATACTCTAGCCAATCAAACATAGGGTAAGTTGAAGTTATTTTACTCTAGCCAATCAAACATAGGGTAAGTTGGAGTTATTTTACTCTAGCCAATCAAACATAGGGTAACTCTAGCCAATCAAACATAGGGTAAGTTGATGTTATTATACTCTAGCCAATCAAACGCAGGGTAAGTTGGAGTTATTTTACTCTAGCCAATCAAACATAGGGTAACTCTAGCCAATCAAACATAGGGTAAGTTGATGTTATTATACTCTAGCCAATCAAACATAGGGTAAGTTGGAGTTATTTTACTCTAACCAATCAAACATCAGGTAAGTTGAAGTTATTGTACTCTAGCCAATCAAACATAGGGTAAGTTGAAGTTATTTTACTCTAGCCAATCAAACATAGGGTAAGTTGGAGTTATTTTACTCTAGCCAATCAAACATAGGGTAACTCTAGCCAATCAAACATAGGGTAACTCTAGCCAATCAAACATAAGGTAAGTTGATGTTATTTTACTCTAACCAATCAAACATAGGGTAAGATGGAGTTATTTAACTCTAGCCAATCAAACATAGGGTAACTCTAGCCAATCAAACATAGGGTAAGTTGATGTTATTATACTCTAGCCAATCAAACATAGGGTAAGTTGGAGTTATTTTACTCTAACCAATCAAACATCAGGTAAGTTGAAGTTATTGTACTCTAGCCAATCAAACATAGGGTAAGTTGATGTTATTTTACTCAAGCCAATCAAACGCAGGGTAAGTTGGAGTTATTTTACTCTAGCCAATCAAACATAGGGTAAGTTGAAGTTATTATACTCTAGCCAATCAAACATAGGGTAAGTTGATGTTATTTTACTCTAGCCAATCAAACATAGGGTAAGTTGAAGTTATTATACTCTAGCCAATCAAACAGGATAACTATGACTATCGCAACTATCGGAAGAAATTTATCGCAACTATCGAAGAAATGTATCTCAACTATCGGAACAAATGTATCACAACTATCGGAACAAATGCATCTCAACTATCGGAATAAAGGTATCGCAACTATTAGAATAAATGTATCGCAACTATCCGAACAAATGCATCGTAACTATCAGAATAGATGTACATGTATTGGAACTAACGGAAGAGATGTATCACAATAATTGCAATAAATGTATCACGACTATCAGAATAAATGTATCATTAATGTTAAGAGACGCCTAGATTGTTCTATCCTGTGGTGTGTCGAATTATATATACTTCCTACTGTCATGGTCGTATGAAATTCCCTTTGGATCAGTCGGAAGAAGTGTAAGGATTCCATGCCTGGGTCGCAGAGCCAAGTCCAAACAGGAGTTAACCTGTCACACGACTGTCAGAAAAAATATATCTTTTAATGTTGTTCTTTTGTATTTACAGGAAGCAAGTCGGAATACAATCTCAGTGGAAGCTCACAGACGATACGAACAGAATCATAGACAGGAACACGAACTGTCTCGTGGACAGCCTCCTCCGTTAATATCTCCGAAAGAACCGGGTGAAATTGCTCAACACAGACCTGATACTGGACTATTCCGTCCGTTTGAAAAAGAAAGTAGAATGCAGTATTCACATTTAGAAGTGCCCAATTTACATAATCGTAAAACAGAACTCTCTGTACCTCCACTCAAAAAACCACCAAGGGAGGTAATAAGTGATAAACATAAAACATATTTAAATGAACGTGATCAGATGCATGGTATACATGGTAATATGGTCGGCCATAGTAACCACAGTAACCATAGTAAAGAGAGTTATAATATGAAAAGGATTGTGAGTGATTTGACTAAAAACAGTAAAATGACTGCTGAAGTCGTGTCACATGATGTCGTGCCTAATCACGTTGCCATGGAGAAAATGGTGCCACTCATTAGTAAACTCGATAAAGAAGAAGAGAGATTACGCAAAGCGAGGTTAAGTGGAACTTACGTCAGCGATGATGACGATGAAGATTTGAGCGAGAAGGAAGAAGACAGAATTGAGAGAATGATGATTATAAGAAATGGCCCCCCATTAGCCCTCGATAAAACACCAACTAAATTAAAATTCCTCTCAATATTAGGTCTTTGTACTGTTCAAAAGAAAAAAGGTGAGTCATTATTTCTTTGTGGTTTGTGTAAATTTAATTCCAGGGAAAATAATATAATTTTTTTTTTTACGAACAGGAGTCATTCATTTGGATGCTGTTGTTGTACATAAATTACACCTGCGTTAAAGCAGGATCCCTAGAGATTAGACTGAAGGGCAGCAAGACCCCTGTATATTAGATTGAAGAGCAGCAAGACCCCTATATATTAGACTAAAGGGCTTCCACTAGAATGTGGTAATGCAGGCCAGACTGCATCTGTCACCCCAGTGGTCTTGATTAGGCTTTACTTTAGAAATGCCTTTGGCCATATTATCTTGGGGTTGAAATCGATTAAAAAAAAGTGGAGGGGGGGGGGTCTTTTAATTTGATACACCCAGTCTGGTTGTTGCGACCTTGCTGGCTTCAGGTCAGTGTATCATTTTTGTACTGATAGCTATCTACCTATTTGCTTCTGATTAAAGATTGCATTGGTTAGGTAAAAGTTTGGACAGGTATCATGCATGGAGCAGGGTGTGCTTACTCATTTGAAGAGTTCATATAGCTAACAAGTCTTTGTTATACGGGACTCCATAGAATGAAGGTGAATCGGTTGGTAATTCTTGGTTAATACTTTAGATTTTTGGCCAAAATGCATTGAAAGTATTGAATTTTTATTTTTTGATTTGATTTTAAAGTGAAGTTTGTCTAACCTGCATTTACATTGGACAGTATTCCCACAGGGGCCACACCCGACAGTTTACAACAGCTCACACCTAACATAGTACAAGGGTCCACACCATGACAGTTTACAATATGGGCCACACAACATCAGTTTACAATGGGCCACACCTGACGGCTTACAATGGGCCACACTTGACAGTTTACAATGGGCCACATCCTAACATTTTATAATGGACGACCCCACAACTGTTTATTACAGGCCACACCACAACAGTTTACGATGGGCCACACCTGACTGTTTACAATGAGCCCACCCGACAGTTTACAATGGACCACTCCGGACGACTTACAATGGGCTACACCTGACAATTTACAATGGGCACACCTGACGGCTTACAATGGGTCACACCCGATGGCTTACAAAAGGCCACACCCGCCGACTTACAATGGGCCGCACCCGACAGTTTACAATGGGCCACACCAAACAGTTTACAATGGGCCACACCCAACAGTTTACAATAGGCCACACCCAACAGTTTACAATAGGCCACACCCGACGACTTACAATGGGCCACACCCAACAGTTTACAATGGGCCACACCTGATGGCTTACAATGGGCCACACCCCAACAGTTTACCATAGGTAACACCCAACGGCTTAAAATCGTCCACACCCATCAGTTTACAATGGGCCACACCTGACGGCTTATAATGGACCACATTATTGTCTAAAAGACCGCGAATAGTTGCTTTTATTTTTATGTTTTGTTTTGTTTTCTTGTTTATCTAACCTGCACTTACTGTTGACAATAAAAAAAACACATCCTGGTTTTATCTTTCCCCTATGTCGGACTTCAAAATGGCGGGGAAAATCTTCGACTCTTGGGCATTAAGTGAAAGAATATTTTGTATTATAACTCAGAACTCTGATGTAGCTAACTTCAACTTATTTAATGACTTTTAACATAAATTAGTTTAGATCACCAAAGTAACCCATTCTTGGACACTCAGCATCACTCGTTAAGTCACTGAGAGCCAAAACAATCAGTTCTGTCTGTTCATATCTTTTATGCAGTAGTCGATAAATTCTTTATTTTTATTTTGACTTCTCGGTACATTAAAGGGAATTTGCCTCAATTATTTTTTTAGTTTAATTGCACCTTTGCAGATTTTTTTAAAGTTAGGGGTGGGGGAATGGGGGTGAGGAGCGGTTACAAAAATTGAAATAGTTTTGTCTTTAATTAATTATGAAATGTATAATGAAATGGGATTTAACTCCTGCTTTTTTATATCAATTGGGCAAATGAGGACAGGCATACGCCATCATGCACTTTGACCCTGATTTACAAGTGACAGAGTGGCACTGGATCGAAGACTAATATGGCACATGCAGCATTTTAAGTTCTTAAATCCCCAAAAATATTTTGAACTTTAGTTTTTACATAGTTCCATCTTCATTAGCCCAGTCATAGCTGAACAGTAGGACGTTAAACCTCATTTCATTTCATTTTGTACATAGGTGAAATTGATAGGATTATAGATAATGTTTAAGATATATATCTGCAAAGGCTGAATTTCTCCTTTAAATTAGATTAATAATAAACCAGGCCTCGTATTTCAGTCATATTCACTGGATTAAACTGACTGAAGGTCAAATTTACCCAGTTACAGAACCTTACATTTACATGCAACAAGAATAGTGGTCTGAAACCGTGTAGATGAGTTACTTCCCTTTATTAATAGTACATGAAGGGAGGGTTCTTGTTTCAGTCATATTCACCGGTCTTGACTGTCTGGCAGTGAAATTGACCAACTGAGCAAAATACCTGTCAGTCAATTTACATGCCACGAGATTAGAATTTCAACCAATTTAAACTTAAAATACAATAAATACAGTGAAATTCTTTACTTTTCATGTGTAAAAACAGTTAAATTATGGTAAAACACAATAAAATACAGTGAAATTTTCATGGGTAAAAACAGTTAAAATATAGTAAGAAATTGAGATAATGCTAATAATTATGGTCGTATTCTTTGAAAATAAAATCTTGCTAAATATGAGGTCAATAATATAATTCAAAATTAAACAAGATGGCAATATTTTAAAGGAAAAGCCATGCTGTAGACTGGTTTTTTTGGCTCGACAATCCCTAACCACAATCACATTATTTACGAGTGACGCTGAGTTTCCACGACAACAAATCACCAAATCTTCTTACTAACTTACAGATAAAGAATTTGAAAGATTTAAGAAGAGGCGGAAATTATTCCGAGAGAAAAGTTTAAGTCCATTAGTAGTTGAAGAGGAACAAAAAAGTGGTTCACCGTTGTTGACCATTCCAAAAGTTGATGTGGATGTTTTGTGTATGGAGTCAGGTTATCGTAATAAATGTAGTTTTTTAGCATCTTTTAATCTACAGCAGATAGAACGTGACAAACGTAAAGGTTCGTTCTTAAACAAATTTCATTTAGTTTAGATATAGAAGGTCTTAAATATTAAGGAAAATGTATCAGGAAATGGCTATGAAATGAAATGGGGTTTAACGTCCTACTGTTCTGCTTTGACTGGGATAAGGAAGACAGGCATATGCCATACAGTGTGCTAATGAAGACAGGCATATGCCATACAGTGTGCATGAGGGAAATTTTGCCCGGACAGCGGCAATACGGCCTACTCTTATATCGAATTCCAACTGTCAAGGGTTCTTTTATGTGCACGCCTGTGTTTACACAGGAACATGGTTTTCTGTCTCTTGCCATGCTCTCCATCCTGCACCACTGGCAAGGGGCAACTCAGCCAGAAAAACATGAACACAGGGATCTCCTCGTTAGCGGGCCAATGTCTTACTCACTGAGCCACCGTGGCTCCGGGAAGCATCAAGCTGTCTAATTACAATAGGATGTGGGGGGGGGGGGGTTCCCGTTTATTTTTGGTTGATCACGCCATTATACATCTTACGACATGCTGAAGCGCTGGCTCACTAACCAGAGGGTCTGTCGTCCCTTCCGGTGTTTGCCGAGAAAATTCCCCAAGATTTACCAGCATGGTTTCCCACTTGTTAGTTTCGCAGGATGGAGGGTCTAGCAAGACATAGCATCTAGTCGTTCGAAAGGTTCGAAAAAAACAAAACAAGGACCTTTGTACATGCTGGCATGCCCATAAGGGATCCATTGAAGGTTGAAAGTCAATTGCTTTCTGCAAAATACATGTATTTTCCCTAATTGAACACCCATTCTAGTCCTTCGAAAGGTTCGAAAAAAACAAAACAAGGACCTTTGTACATGTTGACGTGCACTTTAGGGATCCGTTGAAAGTTGAAATTCAATTGCTTTCCAGGAAATATTTTCCATCATAGAACACCCATTCGTTTAAACTGTATTCTGGGCCTGTGATGACAGCATGTTAGTAATAGTATCTTCTGCCTTAGACAACTAGGGTTGTCTTGATAATCAAACCCTTGTAAAAGATTTCGCCGAATTTTCTGTGTCACAGGTTTTGTTTGGTCAGTTGATCAAGATTCAACCAATCACAACCGGTGTATTACCGAACATACCTTATAAAGCAATGTTTTTAGACCATGGTGAAGTTGAGTAAATAACCCCAAAATATAACGGAACAAAATGTTGAAATTATTTCAATTAGATGGGAAAATGAGAGTCACATACATGTACACTTACGCTGAGCTCTTATCACAGTCACGTATGCTGGGCTCTTGCCAGGGTCACTTCTGTGGAACTCTCGGTACGATCGCTTACGTTAACCTTTTACCACAATGTCTTATGCTAGGTCCCCACTATCACAATTCGCACTATGATTGAAATCGATGTTTTAATTGTGGAGTAATCGTGGTGATCCTATCCAGTTTGATCACATATTGTGGTCAGTCTTATCGAAATGTTCACGTATCTACACGTACCAGATCGTGGACTAAATAGAGACAATCCTATCGTAACGCATCGCACAACAGTGGAAACCTAGCATGACACAATGTATTATTACCACATGTCAAGTGAGAGATATAAATGTTAGCCACCACTACGTTTTATTTTAGGCTGACAAGGAGTAGGGTTGCCTGTCCAATCTCGTGGGTTTTCTCCGGGCCCTTCAGTTTCCTCCCACTGCTAAAGACCCCTACACGCAAGCGAATTATTGAAATAAAAATTGAACCATGTGTTAGTCCCGAAATGACCTATTTTGTGTTGAGTGGACGTTAAACCCCTTTTCTATCTCTCTCTTAACTTTAGGTGCAGTCAAATTATTGAAATATAAAAAACAATTGAACCATGTGTTAGTCCCGAAATGACCTATTTTGTGTTGAGTGGACGTTAAACCCCTTTTCTATCTCTCTCTTAACTTTAGGTGCAGTCAAATTATTGAAATATAAAAAACAATTGAACCATGTTAGTCCTGAAATGACCTAGTTTGTGTTGAGTGGACTTTAAACCCCATTTCTCTCTCTCTCAAGTACTATTGCTACGATTACATTTGAAAGCAGAAAACAGTCCTACAATAAATAGTCAGATTTACCACTTGTATAATGCATCTTTATATGTACAATAAAAGACCGTTTAAAAATATGAAATGTATGTTTCTGAGGTCCACCTGCCCACTCCGTATACCTCTGTGTGTTCTATTTTATCAGCATTTTAGAATTAAAAATTCCTGCACGTAAATTTCGATTATTGTCCCTTTTCAAAAGGCGATTATTCGAGAAACGTAAAAATTTGTACATGTGTCATGTTTTTTGTATCAGATTTCCGTGTCGTGATTTTTTGTAGCAGATTTCTGTGTCGTGTTTTTTGTAGCAGATTTCTGTTTGTTTGTTTCTGGTTCACTTACCTCACAGTTTTTACTAATCAAATTTAAAAAAATTAAATCATCTCGATATAATTACGGTCTGTAACTTCTCACTCCGATTAAGATTGGATCATTCATAATTTTCTTTTTTTATTATTTATATAAATTTTTTATGTTTACTCTACACTGTATACAAATTTTGTGTTCAATTGACCTGACCTAAACTGACCTTTTATCTGACCTTTTATATATTTTGAAACATTGAGTATCCTCTTTGGATGATATATAAACATGCCAGCCCCACCTGTGTTGGTTAAAATCTGTTCATCTTATGGGGGGTTGGATGGTCGAATGTTTAGCATGCGTGCGCTGTATCATTAGGCCTGTCATCGAGTCAATTGGCATGGTTTAAAATCCCTGGTTGTACGTGACAAGGAGTAGGGTTGCCTATCCAACCTCGTGGGTTTTCTCTGGGTCCTCCAGTTTCCTCCCACTGCTAAAGATCCTACGTGCAAGCGAATTACTGAAATAAGATTAAACCATATGTTAGTCCTGAAATGACCTAGTCTGTGTCGAGTGGACGTTAAACCCCATTTCTCTCCCTCAGTCTGTTCATCTTAATGAATCCAATCCGAGAGATACCTACCAATGATGTTTTGGTTTTGTTATTTTAATTAAATGTTAATTAATCAATTTTAAGTACATCTTTGCGTGAATTAAACTGTGAAAAATTTGATATTGTCCAAAAATGGAAATGATGATCAGCTGCTTTTAAAGTTGTCGTCAAACATTGTACCCAGTACAATCATCCACACTGGCTCATGCCATTATCATTAACTCAACATTCTGAACTTACGGTTACAACGTTCAGAACTTATGGTTACAACGTTTAGAACTTACGGTTACAAACGGTCAGAACTTACGGTTACAAATATTCAGAACTGACGGTTATAACGTTCAGAACTTATGGTTACATCGTTCAGAACTTACGGTTCAGACACTCTGAACTCTCAGTTATGAGTATTATGACATTCTGAACTCTCGGTTATGACATTCTGAACTCACAGTTTGGACATTCTGAACTCACAGTTTGGACATTCTGAACTCTCGGTTACGACATTTCTGAACTAACAGTTAGGACATTCTGAACCCAAAATTGATCCCCTCGAAGGGTTGAAAAGTTACAGATTGCAATGTATACGAAGAAGTTAAACTTTTATTTTTTTTGTTGATAAAGTAAGTGTTTAATTGATGTAACTGTTTTATTTATAGAATTGTGTATGATCCGTGAAGCTTGTGCGTTAGAGAAGAAAAGAAGATTAGGTATAGACAATACGGCAACAGTTGATAAAACAATAAATAAACAGAATCAGGAAAATAAAAAAGGTAAATGAAATACGATGTAAAATCTTGTTGGCACACTACTTCAATCATTAGAACTGGAAACTCAGCATGCCTTCATCGTTGTCATCTAAAGACCCCTATGCACAAGCGAATTATTGAAATAAAATTAAACCATATGTTAGTCCCGAAATGACCTAGTTTGTGTCGAGTGGACGTTAAATCCCATTTCTCTCTCTCTTTCTCGCGAACCGACAAATCTGATATATATAAGTATTGAGAATTATGCGTTTGAAATTTGCGTTCTGTTGTTATCTCTGTAGCCATCAAATATAACATTTATGTAAATAGCGTTCTGTATCGGGATATATATGAATGAAATATTAAATAACAAATACATGTTATTATTTGATGTCCACAGATATAACAACAGAACGCAAATTTCAAACATATAATTCTCAATACTTAAATATATCAGATTCATCGGTTCGCAAGAAACGTGACAAATTTTTTCATCATATCAAAAATCGCAGTCTGTCAATAGATACAGGGTGGGTGGCATGTTGGATCATAAGGTCTGTCATTGAGTCAGATGGCATGGTTTTGATTCCCTGCTTGTACATGACAAGGAGTAGCGTCCCCTGTTGAACCTCGTAGATTTTATCCTCCGGTTTACTCCCACTGTTAAAGACCTGTACGCGCAAGTGAATTATAGAAATAAAATTGGGTCTGTTAGTCCCGAAATGACCTAGTTTGTGTGGTGAATATTAAAACCAATCTCTTTCTCTCTCTCATGCACAATTGTTCAAAAAACAAGCATGCCAAGTTTTATGTCGATTGTACTGAATTGACATAGCTTTAGGGTTAATTTTAAAATTCTCACCCCAAGAACAAGAAGAAAGATTACAAAATGTATAAAGCCAACTCCTGGTTTAAATTTGTCATTATTAATATTTAAATTACGATATTTTCAGGTGTTAAAAGAAAGCATTGTGATGACAGTATAGAGATCCTTGAATCCGAACCAGTTAAAATGACCTTAGGTCAACTACAGCAGCGCCATCTAGCGGCACAAAAAAATAAATTAAATAATGTTCATAATAAAACTGTCGAAAATCGAGCTGTGATATTTCCTGAATCTCGTGATCGGGGTCGTGTACTGAGTAGAGAATTTGCCGAACAGTTTCACGAATCAGTTTTACAGACGACCAGACAGAAAGAATTAGCGGGAAGATTAAGTAAGTAAAATGTAAAAATGTATGCATTACAGTGGTTTTCAACAGGCTCAATCTATTTGTTAAGGCCAGCTCAATTATTGTCAAGGTCGCTGAGATGTAAATACGGTTAGGGCACGTAATTGTTGACAAGATTGTAGGTTAGAGTAAGCAGGGTTAGGGTTGGGATTAGCACTAGCTGTGTCTACATCTTGTGAACTATGATGAAAAATTGAGCTGGCCTTATCATTTAGCACTATCCGGTTTTCAACATCAGGTATGATCAATGTCTGTAGGCTATTTTAAAACCACAAATGAGGGATGTTTTAAAGCAATTTAATTCTGAAAGGATCAGCTTTTCAATGCTGCTAGTTAGAGATTGTTACTATAGTAAACCTCATAGGTTGTAAACACGACTTCATGGGTTGTAAACACGACCCCGTGGGTGGTAAACACGACCCCATGGGTGGTAAACACAACCTCATGGTTTGTAAATATGACACCACAGGTTTTAAATACGACCCCCACAGGTTGTAAACACAACCTCACTGATTGTAAACATGACCCCAAAGGTTGTAAACAAGAGTGCCTACATTATGGCTACATTCTCTAAACCAGATGTTCTGCGCAGAGAGAGAAGGAGAGAGAGAGAGAGAGAAATTAACGTCCATACTACACAAACTAGGTCATTTCGGGACTAACACATGGTTCAATTTTATTTCAATAATTCACTTGCGCGTTCGGGTCTTTAGTAGGTTGGACAGGCGGCCCTACTCCTACGTACAACCAACGGGGGATTCGAAACCACACCAGTTGACTCAATGACATCTGAGCATTGATAGTAGTAGCTGCCCTTCAGTATTTCATAGAGAATTACAATATATTTTAAGGTCATTAAACAGAATATTTACCCTGTGGTTATTTCCTCGGAGAATAAGATATAGCTTTCTAAATCTTAAGATGACAATAATGTGTAATTGACTTATTTCATTTATTTTATTTTTAGGTAATACACGCTCAGATGAAGCAACCAATCAAATAGCAGAACACAGTAGCTCATCTCACCCTCGATATCATGTATCAAGTGATGGTATTGGTTCGAGTAGTTTATCTGACCAATCAGAGAGTGGCTCCTATAAATGGCCAGGTATAACAGCAGTAATGGAGGCATATCAAAGACATGCAGATGGTAAGTAGTTGTTCAGATGGGACGTAAAACCGAGGTCCCTTGCACACACTGTAGTTGGAATTTGATAATTTGTTTTCAATATTTGGAGAATAATAACAGCAGTAGAGGACGACGACAACTCTCATAAATTGAGGTATGAGATAGCTTGAGACTAATGATAGGAAGACATCTGAGCTGGGATCTTAGCGATACACCAGGAGTTCATATAGAACACGATGTAAGATGAGACACAACCTCAGTCAGTAGAAGTCAGATTAAACCCATTGGTGTTATTAATAATCAAACGTTTCAGACATGAGAAGTCCTTCTTCAGTAATGGTCCAAAACATTTGGAGTTCGTCTCACTTATACGGGTTACGGTGGGTTCTCATCTCACATTGTCTTCTATATAACCCCTTGTATATTGCCCTTCATCAGTAAAGGTCCGAAATGTTGGGAGTTTGTCTCACTTAGACATGAGGTCTGTGACTTATTATAACGGTGTGATAATCAGCCAATCGCTAATATAATTACTTTGGGGAGGACATAAATGATCTCTTCATGAGAAAATGAAATGAAATGGGGTCTAACGCCCTACTGTTCAGCCCGAACTAGGCTAATAATGACGAGTATATGCCATACAGTGTGCTATGCTATGCCCGGGCAGCGGCACTACGACCTACTCTCATATCGAATTCTAACTGTCAAGGAATCTTTTACGTCCATGCCAATGTGTACACAGGACCTCTGTTTTTCGTTCCATCCAAAGGACTAGACGTCAGTCACTCTGTCCTGCATCACTTACAAGGGGGAAGCATGCCAGAAGATCTGGATGAACTTTCTCGGCCAATGCAGGGATCGAACACCCGACCTCCAGTCTAGCGAGCCAGCGCCTTACCCACTTAGCCACTGTGACCCCCACAAGAAAAAGAAATTCCTGGTACAATGGTGTTCACAGTTCACATTTACTAATGTAAAATGATTTTTATATTCCAGAACAAAAAACTGAACATGACATTTTATCTGAAAGATGTAAAAAATTACAATCTGATAATAGAGATCTCAATAAAGCCGCTGAAAAACTCAGTAATAAGATGTCGGTAAGTTATACGAATAAAATCACTCATGTATATACAATATTTAACCCTGTACCGGTCATTGTCGACTATAATCACCACAACGTTATACAGCTAAGTGGTCACGGTCGACTAAAGTCGACCACAGCAAGAACCTTTTTTATAAGCCGCATTTGAGTATTTAGTTTCGTATTTAATTGATATGGCCATGCATGCTTGTCAGACAGGAACTTGTCTTGTCAGTGGCATTGAGAAAAACATGTCTTTGTTCAACATTTTTTGACGAAAAATGTAATTTAACGATGTTGGGAACGTTAAAGACGCTTGAAGTGGTTGAAATACTTATGAATTATATTATATCAATGACACCAATTCTGAAGACGATATTTCTGATGAAAAGGATGTAGAATGATTTGCAAATTATAGATCAACTTTTTTTATTGGTGTCAAGAGTCTATCACTTAAAATTATTCGGCAGTAGTCGATTGAAATAGGCATACAAAATATTTCACTTTAGCCTGACCACTCGACGTCATGTCAAAATGACGTCGACCGGTTAAGGGTTAAATTGTTTTTCAAGGCTTTAGAGTGTTGGGTGGTTAACATGTGCATGTTAAATCATAAGGTCTGTCATTGAGTCAAGTGGCATGGTTGTGATTCCCTCATGGGTTTTCTCTGGGTCCTCTGGTTTCCTCACACAGCTATTGAAATAAAATTGAACCATATGTTAGTCTCGAATTAGTGGACGTTAAACCCTATCTCACTCTCTCTCTTTAAAAAATTGACATCCAAAAAAAACTCACTCAGAAACTAATGCTCAACTGCCATGCTCCACATAGATTCGTACCTCGGAAGAAAAGGTATATCAAATATCTCGACTGATATCTATATAGATATATATTTGTGATCGTTTTCTGTTACATGTTGACAGCTACACTAGGGCTGGCCTGAGGATGAAATATAATGTAAAAGGACATAGGCCTGGTGCATACTAAACTTAGGCTGTCTGTCTACAGTTAGCTCCGCTTGAGAACAGACACTAAGATTTTAGTCGAAAACACAAAGTATACTTTGCGAATAGTGAGAAGTATTTCTACTGCTTCCATTTAATAAAATTGAAAAAAGTTTATTTAGTTTTTGTGTGTATGACGTGAAACAGAGTAGAACCGCATTACAATACAGTATACATATTTTTGGATATGGCGGCTATTTAGGACAGAGATCTATTCTCGAAGTATGAAGTAGATGGATCTATGTGTGCAGAATAAGACCTGGGGGTGTTACATAACCACTTCTAGTTTCAGAGATATTCAACTTCCAGTTTCGGGGGGTTGGATGGCTGAATGGTTAGCATGCATGCGCTGTATCATAAAGTCTGTCATTGAGTTGACTGGCGTGGTTTCGAATCCCCGGTTGTACGTGACAAGGAGTAGGGTCGCCTGTCCAACCTCGTGGGTTTTCTCCGGGTCCTCCGGTTTCCTCCCACTGCTAAAGACCCCTACGCGCAAGCGAATTATGTAAATAAAATTAAACCATATGTTAGTCCCGAAATGACCTGGTTTGTGTCGAGTGGACGTTAAACCCCATTCCTCTCTCTCTCTCTCTCAACTTCCAGTTTCACAAAAATCTTATTAGTAAGTGTCGCAAAGCTCTCTACCTGATCAACAGGTAGATCACTAGTTCATAATAACAAATTTCACAATTTTGTTTTTCAGAGTTTTTTGGAACAAAAGCAGCAATTTGAAGACGAAAGAAACAAAACACAAAGTGCAATCGAAAATTTAAAGAAATCTCTGCGTTGTTTGAGATGATAATTATAAAAGTTTTATGTACATATTAATGGTGTAAATATAACAATCTCGCATAATTTGCTCTAAAAATTACTTTGTTTAAAAAGGGACCTGTTGTCTTTGATTTCTGTACGAGTACAAAGTGTCGATTTGATTAGATTTATCGCGTGCTGGGAGGGATATTGAAATGGGCTCTGTCCGTACGCCAATTGAGAGCCATCAAGTATTTATTTATAAAGTATTAAAACTCCTCCACCCTCCCTCCCCTGAATAAAAATTTTAATAGGGGTTTACGAAATTTTAATAAGTGTTCTATTTGATGAGTGTCGTAAAACTTCATCAGCTTTGGGGCGCCACGGTGGCTCAGTGAGCAACCTCGAGGCCCCAGACGAGAAAGTTTATCAGGATTTTCCGACTGCTTCCCCCTTGTCAGATGATCTCGACACTCAAGGAATACGATATAGTAGTTCAGAGTGGACGACAAAAAGTTCCTCCCGACTGGTTCCCCCTTGTCAGATGATCTCGACACTCAAGGAATACGATATAGTATTTTAGAATGGACAACAAAAAGTTCCTCCCGACTGGTTCCCCCTTGTCAGATCATCTCGACACTCCAGTAATACTATATACTAATTTGGGATGGGACAACAAAAAGTTCCACCCGACATGGTTCCCCCTTGTCGGATCATCTCGACACTCTAGTAATACCATATACTAATTCGGATGGGACAATAAAAAGTTCCGCCCGTCTCAATAAGATCAAATCAACTCGACACTTTGTGTATTGAATCAAGGATAGCGTGTGGTACCTGATTATTATTATTATCATGTCTCAGACTATATTGTGTATTGTATTTATCACACCCGTAATATTGTTCTCTTTTTTTTTTTTTAAGACTTAAAAATTTATTTTATCATATTTTATAAATATTGATATGTGTGTTTGTTAAAGTTTAAAATTGCTAATGGCAGATAAAATAGAACTTGCGAAATGGAATCCGACGAGCCTTCTTTCAGGGTACATTTAACTATTCTTGTCTCATAAATCACAAACTAAAAAGACGTAAGAAAATAAAAAAATTCAAACGATGCCCTCAAATTAACGGAACACAATTTTTATGGGAAACAATCAATGGTTTTTATCATGAACCCAGACAGGAAAAAATGAAGTTCCTGTAAAAAGAAATGTAAAGGATTGCTAAAACAGTCTATGGACCAACTTTCTCGAGTATATAAAAAAAAAAAATCTATTTTCTGGACCAGAATTTAAAATATTCATTGTCACTCTGCTGTATAACATTCATAGTCACTCTAAAACTTTCATAGTCACTCTATAGAATCTATACAACACTATAGTCACTCTTAAAGCGAGAATTTCAAATTTTCTAAGAAAGTCAAAACATAATTATTTCTATGTCTTTTGCTCAATAGGTTATCAAATCACTATTATACGATCATGGGCATTATTTCCCACCCTTAAAAATCTATGACACAGGAAATAACAACACAGTTACCACCCCTGTTTTGCTATTGACAACTTGGGGCAGCCATTTTCCAACGTTGGAATTTGAAGTTAAAAATGATATTTTTGCCAATTTCTCAGCTGGCAATAGCGAATTATAGGATTAATAGGATTATTCTTTAACAAGGTAGGACTGTTTATGGATACCATCTATTTTAAGGCTTTATTTTAATACATTTTAAAAATATAACTTGAAAATTTGCAATTGCAACTCTAAGACTTTCATAGTTACTCTATAAAACAGTCATAGTAACACTACAGTTAACGTTCATAGTAACTCTGAATATCCAGACCCCATTCTTAATGGGGAATAATCTTTTCTCCTTTGTAGGATAGGGCAATCGTTCGCTTACATGGTATTGGATATATTTTTTTAAAAAAGGCAGTAATCATTGTAAGGCTCGCTGGTTCCTTTTCGTAAAGTTCAAATCCCTACAGTGCCCTTATTGAATAATATATATAATAGGAGAATTTATTGCCTGCTGATATACACCTGATTTAATCAGATATTTATTGTTAAAAATCCTGTTAAAAATATACATTGAGGCATCACTATAATGCTGTTAAATTGTATATTGTGGAATCGCTATAACACTGTTAAGATGTACCCAGTCACTATAACAATGTTAAATTGTATATTGTGACATCATTATAATGCTACTAAGATGTACCCCCAAAGAAGTCACTATAACAATGTTAAATTATACAGTGAGACGTCACTATAATGCTATTAAGATGTACCCAGGTACTATAACAATGTTAAAAGTGTACAGTGAGACGTCACTATAATGCTATAACAATGTTAAATTATAGAGTGAGACGTCACTAAAATGTACCCAGGTACTATAACAATGTTAAAAGTGTACAGTGAGACGTCACTATTACTTCAAAGAAATAAACAAATGTTCAAAAATAAACAGATAATAGAAAAGATCTCAAACTGAGAGATTTACAGTTTCCAAAAATCTAAAAATGACTTAAATCAATTGATACAAATAGCAATCTGAGTAAAACACAGATAGTTCAAAATTTCGTTTTTTTATAGTTTAAAATTTCTTTTTACTTGTCTTTACTACACTAGGATCTGGAAGAGTTGTTATATAACCCGCGTTTTTTATAGTTCAAAATTTCGTTTTACTTGTCTTTACTACACTAGGATCTGGAAGTGTTGTTATATAACCCGCGTTCTGGTTGATGTGAGGGATTAGCCAATGATACGGTCTGTTGCAGCGAGTTCTTGGCGTGCGGTGCACTGAACTGTAGGTATCCTACTAGAAACATAGACGCTGATAGGTTAATCAATTGTCTGACGTCCAGGGTCAACAGCCGCTCGTATGACCCCTGACACGATCTCTCACTACAACTAGTAAGATATTCATTTAGTGTAGGCCATCTAAAATATACAAAAATGAAATATAGATCTGTATTTTAATCATATTGATACAAATATTTGAATAGCATTTTGATTGATGATTTAAAATATTTGAATAGTAAAATCAGGATAGGCTGTGACTGGTGGGTGTTCAATTCAATCCACTCAACAGAAATCGTTGGTGAAGCATATATTAGGCCAATCCCAAAAACAATATTCTGATTCTCAATCTGTCCCAAAAATCTGATTCTGTCAATTACAGGGGGGGTTGGATGGCCGAATGGTAAGCAAGTGCGCGCTGTAACACAAGGTTTGTCATTGAGTCAACTGGTATGGTTTCGATTTCCCGGCTATACGTGACAAGGAGCAGAGTCGTGGGTTTTCTCTAGGTCCTCCGGTTTCCGCCCACTGCTAAAGACCCCTACGCTCAAGCAGATTATTGAAATAAAATTGAACCATGTGTTACTCCCAAAATGACCTAGTTTGTGTTGAGTGGACATTAAACCCCAATTCTCTCCCTGTTTATAGGAATGATGATTATCCAGTATCATTTACAATGTTAGGGTTGCATGTATACTTGATAGATGTGCCTATAAAATGTTTTTGGATTTATTCAAATTCACTGACTGTGGTCGAGGTAAAATATTTACATGCAGTAGTCAAATAGCCTTGTTTTTATTTTTTAATTGAAAACAGGTCATTGCAGTCCTTTTTTAAGCGACATGGGATTACCTGAGAACAAGAATATATTTTTTTTTGTATGGCCTTAGTATAGTAAGTCCCGTTCGTTCGCCCCTACACCTAAACATGTATTTTATTAGGCAACTTTTTTTTAAATGAAACTTGAAATCACTTCACATCTAACTATATGGAGAGAAATATCTCCAAAATTATGGTTAAAGCATTTTTGAGGGGTGTAAGGTTCCATACAGGTAAATTTAAAACTGTTTCGTTGCATTTAACCTATAATGGAACAATTGAGACTTTTAGCATATATATAGGCATTTTGTAAGAAAATAGCTTTTTTTTTTCATATAAATTATGTTATTTATTGTGCTGTAGTTATTATTATGTGTGTTGATCATGACTTTATCTCACTCAGTGTGCAAACCAAGGCAGCACCAAAATTAAAATATTCAAAATCATCTCATTTTTCTACTGCAGGGCAGTCCATCTCATTGGATGATAAATAGTCATAATGAAACCTACGCAGGAACCAATCATCATTAACACTGTAATCCTGGCATCAATTAATCTTGTGTATTTAGCATTAATTTCTTTCACATTTGTTTAATATCAATTCTTGGTTTAAAACTTCATAAAAATCATTTAAAATCTCCATAATTTGTACTTGTGTTCAATTTACAAGTGTTTAATTTCTCGATCACTGTTTAAAAAAACCCAACCCAATTGATTATTGATATATAATGATTAATATTTGAACAGTGGTCAGGAAATTAAATACTCTTATCAAAATTAATTAGTCAGCTTTAAACTGGACACAATTACAAGTTAGATGATTTTTGGTGATTTTAAATTTAAATGATTTTTACGAATTTTTAAACAAAGATTTGATATTAAATGAATGTGAAAGAAATTAGTGTTAGATACACAAGATTAAATGATGCCCTGATTACAGTGTGTGCATCTTTATTTGTTGATTATATAAACACTTGTTTTATAATTCCGATTACAAAGTAGGAATCTTTTTTAGTAGCGGGCTGAGCCTGCCAAGGGTCTTGGCAACTGTCTATAAATTTATGTAGTATTAATTGAAATCATTTAAATTATAATACATTTCATCTAGAATTTGAAACATGGGCATCAATACGCAGGGTCCACTTTTGAGTTTCATTTCACGAAGGAAGCATTAGCTGCTAATAAAACTCAAATTTGTCATTCATTAAAGTCAGTTTTTAATGACGACTTTATACTTCTTTTATGATTCTCAACTTCCTAGAAAACTTTGGAATTGAGTAACCAAGATTAAACCCTAAAAATAATTGATGATGTATATTTCAGAGCGATACTATACTAGAATTTCCAAACAATTTTTTCAATCTACATACAATTCTTTTCAAATGGGCTTTTGAAATAAAGTAAATTCTAATATGTTATTGGTAAATGTCTTTTGTTAAAATTTATAACCACTGCTGTTCAATGTTTAACCCTTTTAGTGCCACGATGCTGTCAGAACTATACCACATGAAACCTCGATGAAAAGCGTTTCCCGAGCACTTTCCAGCAAGAGGTCACAAGATGTGGTTTCAATAGAAGTTTTTCTTCTTCAAATATGAAAAATCGCCTGTGGCACTGAAAGGATTAACCAGTCTAGAACGACATTATGTTGCATTTTTACCAACCTGTGCTTTCTGTATTAAATTAAATACTCTAACAAGTAAATTAAACAGATTTCACTTTTATCATTCTCCTCGTTCTAATTGATACCGACAATGAATAAATAAAAAAAATATTTATGAAATACAATTACTTAGCTTTTATTATAGCGCAGGTTTCAACTGGGCTTCTCTAATTGAAACATGGTTATACTAAAACCTGAGTAATTGTTACTCAATAGAGTTGTTTTTACGATTACGAAAGATCTTTTAAGCAACAGACCCTCCATCTTCAATAGAAGGCGTGATATCGGTGATGCTTTAACTCAATACATCTTATCAAGGCTTTCACGTAATACCCTGAATATTTAGGCATTAATTTCGATAGGCCACCGATCCACATATCAGATTCCTCAATCATTGCAAATACCAAGTCTCACACTTTCCAGCTAAATGTCTACCTGTGATAATCGAGTTTCAAGGTTCATTCAATGTCAAGGTTTCTGTGGAGTGTCGCCATGTTTGATTTGAGTGTGTTTGTGTCACAGCCTCTGATTGGACGTTACTGTTCACATGTCTGCAGTAAAGGGAGATAATGTAGCTATAAGTTTGGAAATTGCAGACCAGTCTAGCTTGCGGTTGTTGCTTCAGGAACATGTAGATCATCTCAATGTGCTTGGTCCACTTTTGAGGGGTTGGGTAGCCGAATGGTTAGCAAGTGCACGCTGTATCATAAGGCCTGCCATTGAGTCAACTGGCATGGTTTCAATTCCCCGGTTGTGCGTGACAAGGATTAGGGTCGTCTGTCCAACCTCGTGGGTTTTCTCCAGGTTCTCCGGTTTCCACCCATTGCCAAAGACCCCTACCTGTGAGCGAATTATTGAAATTAAATTAAACCATATGTTAGTCCTGAACTGGCCTAATTTGTGTTGAGTGGACGTTAAACCCCATTTCTTTCTCACTCTCACATTACTCCACCCCCTCCAAGAAGAACATGAGAATTATTTTTATAAAAATATATTTTATATGTACATATATACAAGTTACAAAAAATAGAGTTGAAAGGGAAAGCAGTGAGGAACAAAGACAGCGTACCATTACATGAAATAAAACATAATTATCAACAAAATTTGGTCTATTCCAGCTACTCAAAACAGAGCTAGCGTGTTTTAAAAAGGTATGATTAATCCTTGAACTTCAGTTACTCTTAAACATACATTATGCAAATGCTAAATCTGCCGATTTCAGGTCTTTCTTTAGGCCTGAAATGTCATCTGAATTATTAATTAACTTATCCAGGCCATAATCAACTCTCGATGTCATCGCTAGTCTGTGATGTTTATTGCATTAGGTTCCGATTTGCTGTTCTACTTCCATTTAAGATTTAATCATGAAATGGATAATCAAGACTATGTTTTTTATCGTACCGACTTTAGTAATGATGATCGAGGCTAGGCCTAAAATTCAATCGCTGAAATCTTGGTTCAGAGTGGATCAATTTGACTAAAATTTTCAGCAAATTCCCTCTGTACATTATCTAGTTTTTAACTACTACAGTGAGAACTGCCAGCTCTTTATCTAATCTCCCATAATGTGTCTTTAAAGGCAGTACACAGGAGACAAATCTCATAGTTAGACCAAATGCATAATTACAAGATGTAAACTGAAGGATAGACTGAAGGTCCTTTAATTGCTGTGAGGATAGACTGAAGGTCCTTTAATTGCTGTGAGGATAGACGGAAGGTCCTTTAATTGCTGTGAGGATAGATGGAAGGTCCTTCAATCGCTGTGAGGATAGACTGAAGTTCCTTTAATCGCTGTGAGGATAGACTGAAGGTCCTTTAATCACTGTGAGGATAGACGGAAGGTCCTTTAATCGCTGTGAGGATAGATGGAAGGTCCTTCAATCGCTGTGAGGATAGACGGAAGGTCCTTTAATCACTGTGAGAATAGACTGAAGTTCTACAAACAGTTCACCGTGTTCAGTCTTGTGTTGGTTTAATTCCACCAGTTAAATTTGTCCTTAAAATGTGCATCTGATCGAGTGAAAGGGTTAAAAATGATCTGACTGTATTGATCTCCATTAACGTCAAATGATTCAGCTAGAAATAAAAAAAGAACTTATTAAATCAGGCATATTCTGGACAATATTTAATTATTCACAGCTTAATACTAAAATTTACTAAAATTAATGATTTAACATTTAATTAAGAAAACAAACCAAAAATATCAATGCTTGAATTAAAAGAAAAGGTCCATCTCTGATAGTCTGCAGAGAATACCCCCAACACTGATCAAGCTTATTGATATAGTCGGCAGAGAATAACAAATGAGAACTGGGCTTGAAAAATCATGAAGGGTTTTCTTAATGCACGCTAGGAATCAAACCCGGCAATCTCTAGACCCAAAATTTAAAACAGTCAGCCATTAATCTGAGAGAATTACCAGTACAGCTGTATAGCATTACAGCGTACTGTTATTTCGTATTTCAAATGTCACATGCTCTTTTCTGTGCATGCCAATGTGTACATAGGACTTTAGTTTTTTTTATCCCATATAAACAACTAGGCACTTCCATGCCAACCCCTCCGTCATGCACTACCGACAAAGGGAAACCATGCCGGAAAATTTTTCGGCCACCACCAGGAGTGAACCAGAGACCTTACAAATAAAATTCTAATTTACCACATTCTGATTAAAGCACATATCCTATTTCGTTTCGTTTTTTATAGTTCAAAATTTCATTTTACTTGTCTTTACTACACTAGGATCTGGAAGAGTTGTTATATAACCTGCATTCTGGATGATGTGAGGGATTAGCCAATGAAAAGGACTGTTACGGCGAGTTTTTGGCGCTAGGTGCACGGAACTGTGGGTAACCCACTAGAAACAGCAACGCTGATTGGTTGATCAAATGTCTGCCATCATAGGGTCAAAGGTCGCTCGGATGACCTCTGACACAACCTTCCACTAGAACTGATCAGATCTTCATGTAGTAGAGGCCATCAAAAGTATAAAAAAACGAAATGAAGTATAGATTTGTATTTTATTCAGATTGGTTTTACCTTGGCATGTGTAGCATCACTTTTTATAAACGTATCAATACTGCTTCTTAGTTTAGCTATACGTAAATCCCATATATCTTTAATTAACGTTCTAACATCGTCAGCTCGAGGTATATCAGCTGTAGCACTGTAAATATACAATACAATTAATATATGTTCTAACATCGTCAGTTGTTGGGAGGGTGGATGGCCGAATGGTTAGCATGTGCGCGCTGTATCATAAGGCCTGTCATTGAGTCAACTGGCGTGGTTTCGAATCCCCGGTTGTACGTGACAAGGAGTAGGGTCGCCTGTCCAACCTCGTGGGTTTTCTCCGGGTCCTCCCACGTGCAAGCGAATTATTGAAATAAAATTAAACCATATGTTAGTCCTGAAATGACCTAGTTTGTGTCGAGTGGACTTTAAACTCCATTTCTCTCTCTCTCATCTGCTGTAGCACTGTAAATGGGTTGTCAGCCAATGGAACATACCCACAGCAGCACCCCTAATGTGTACAAGGGACAACATTTTTTTGTCCAATCCGAATGACTAGACAGCTCTCCTTGTCAGGTCCTCTATCCTACACCACTGACAAGGGGAAACCACGCTGAAAAATCCTGATGAACAATCTTGGCCAATACGGGGATCGAACCTGAGACCTCCAAGTCAACGAGCCAGCATCTTTCTCACTTAGCCACCGTGGCTCCCATCCCCAAGAAGAAGAACAAAATGATAAGTTTCACTTGGGGCTCAGTTCCTGATCGAAAAGTAATTAATAGAAATTTCAAACTGATCGGTTTATAACTCTAACAGTAACGGAAATTTTTGTATTTTTGGTGCTTGTGATTTTTATCTAAAGATTATAAATCTTACTATTTTAAATAAAGGAAATGATATTTAACGCCACATCAGCACCAAACTTACCATTTTAATAATATCTGGGTAACTTCCATATAATATTTACTCGGCATTGGAGTAAAGAATTTAGAATCTGTTTCTTCTTGCTTCTTGTCTTCAAGTTTCTCTATTAAATTAAAATTTGTAGTCATCGAACGTCAAGCAATTTCATTATGATAAACATGAAAGAGCAAAGGAGTACAGTGAGGGAGGCGCTGGCTTGCTCACCAAGAGGACTTTCCTATCTACGTAATGCCATCCTATTCATCCAAGGTCCACCCCACCAATACATGTATACACACACTGGAGTGGTGTAAAAGACTCTTTGACAATTGGAATTGGAGAAGAATTACATTAAGTCCAGACATAAGGCATCTGTTACAGACTTTATTAGACACAAATTATCACACAATGTAAATATACAGGCCTGGACATAAGGTCCATGGCACAGACTTTATCAGGCACAAAACATCTGCTATACTAGCAGGATACCCAGCTTCGCCCAAGGCCCAAATTTTGCTGAGGGGCCCAATTCGCCCAGGGCCCAAATTTGGTGGCCTAAAACATTTACAGGATCATGCTGGATAAATTGATACCACATATGTGGCCGTAGAGCTCGGTTACGAAGCGTTATTAACCCTGGGTCCATTGTTATTTATATAGATAGAAGTTATGAGATAATTTGTGTCTGACAAAGCCTGTGACAGATGCCTAATGACCAGGCTGGATAAACATGTAAACAGAAACACTGATGTGTGGTTAATATTCGTCTCCCTAGCACTGAACTAATAACTAAGTCCATTCCTATCCTATTTCAAAATTTTAACTTACCAACATCCATCCAATCAGGGGGAACAACTCTACATTTATGTCTTTGTTTTAAATTGACTGCCATCCATAATGGTATTTGAACTGGTAAACCTGGATTCAGAGGTCCAATATCTCCCTGAAACATTCAATTTTACCATTTCAAATATGTCTAGAACAATCCTGTGATTTCCAGGGAGTATCAAGTTGCAGTCATGAAATATGACAGGTGAACGGCCCAAATGAGTCGTTTTCTCCATCCATAGTCTTAATCAAATTTTTGTCTCTGTTAATGCTTTAGGAATGTTCCAAAGAATGTCTGATGTAACTATAAAAAGGCTCGGAAAGAGGCAGACATTTTGCCATATTGCCACTCTATATGTAGCATGATACAACATTTGGGAAATATTCCCCTTTTTCTTTGAGTTGTGTCCCTTATAGTTAAGTTTGTTTTTCATTTTGAGTGAAGTTTGTATCACTACCGGCCCAGGACTATACAGGGCAGTGGATACTTACGACTAGCCCCCCGATCCTTTCACCGGACCTGATATGTGTAACCTATTTGTTGTTTGTGGTGTCCTGTCCATAGGTTTGTCTTGTGTAATTCTTTGTGTGTGGTGTGGTCCCCCATCATTTATAACCAACTTTTGATTACATCACAATCCTGCTCTCACCTTGACATCTATATTCAGGACTGGCAGAATTGTAACATGGCTCACTTTGGAAATGAAAATCGAAGATCTCCTAGGAGATTATTCAGAGGTTGTTACTTCGAAGCCGGTCTCAGAACAGAGAAAGTTCTCTGACCGCTACTGTACCGCTCTACCCCCAGGGATGTAGTCATAACGGCCCTATGCCATAACGGCCAAAAACAGGTTTGGTCAAATCGGCCCTATTTTAGTCATAACGGCCAAACAGTTTGGTTATACAGCCAAAAGATTTGGTCATAACGGCCAAACATTTTAATTTAATGAAAAACAAGATATTGTTGTTGTTTATTAAAGATTTAACATCCAATACGTTAGATATGATAATATTATGGATAGGTTGATTTACAGAGTTTAAGGTCTTGAGAAGAACAAGTATATTGATTTTTAATGAATTTTGATAACTAAACAGCTAAATCCATGATATTAAATGTTTTGTATACTAAATGTTAGCATGGGGCAGAACTTTATAAAAACCAAACAAATTCTAATGATTTTCTGATAATTACTTTATGAGTTGTTAATCTTAATCAGATTTTAGTGTATTATAAATGTTTCATTATCGAAAAAAGTAAAAATATGCGACAACTCTTGTAGACTGCCCGGACGATTTAGCTGCTGTGGGCGTATGTTCCATTGCCTGGCAACCTATCTTTTATATTATATTAACATTAAATTCAGGAATAACTACACCTAATGCACTAAAGTAGTGAACCCAGTCAGTTTTGGGTCCTTCTGTTTTGGATCTAATTTCGTTTCCTGTATGCATATTATATCTATTTTGGATTAGCTAACAAGGTGGTTCAATTCTGTCATACGTGGTCTGAGCAAATATTATACTTATCTTTGATAAAAATAAGAATTGACTTTTATCATTTGACAAAAATAACAATTCATTCATCAGACAAAGGAAAGAGATGAGTACTAATTAATCAACTGATTGAATAATCCCTAATTAGGTACTTCACACCCTCTGATCAGTGATTAGGTAATAAAGGTAAAAGACTTTTGTGTTTTTAACAATTTTCAAGTGTAAATAATTTAATTAAACCAACCTGTATTGGACGTTAAATCTTTAATAAACAACAAGCAATCCATTCGGGGTTTTTTTTTCATGTATTAAATTAATGTTTAGCTAATGTATGTATTTATATTATCTGTTAGGCAATATCTTTGTGAATAAATATCATTTCCTGCATGTAAAATATGGTTTATATTTTCTTGGCTGTTATGACTAAATTGTTTAGCCATTTCAACTAAATATTTTGGCCGTTTCGACCAAATATTTTGGCCGTTATGACCAAATTTTTGGGCCGTTCTGGTTTAGGGCCGTTATGTCTATAACCCTACCCCCAACCTCTGTTTTATATTTTACAGCTGTTTTGTTTGAGGTTCTTTATAGCTTCTATTTTTCATTAATTTTAAATTGCAGCTTAATAGAAACGGACAGGAATGATCAAAGGACTTTGTCCATTCAGAGACCAAGTTAAAGGATGTTTTTGTACAGGATGTTATTGCCCCTTTTAATTGATAACTCACTCCAATCAGAAATATTTTGTCTTGTGCAAAGTTGGGGACAATCGTTACCAACTCTTTTTCGGCTAAAAATTCGACTTCAGCCGGGTCCATCATCTTTAAACTTAACAGAAATATTTAATAAAAGCTCAAAGCTTAAACAAACAATTTGGTTGTGAAATGTCATGTAATAATCATCTGAAATCGGCAACAAGTTTGCTTCTCATTCTTCGTAACTTGTTTTTACCGCCATATTGCTAATAAAGGTCAAGGCTGAAACAAATAGCATAGTCTAAAATGGAATCTAGGATTCAACCCGAGCGTAATAATTATTTTGTTTAAATTCATGACCATTGAATGACGAGATTGTTATTTCAATGTAAATTTTAAATTACAAAAAATATTTTAATGTTGATATTTTGGTTTGTTTTTAGTTTTGGGTGTAAAACTGGGAAAACGAAAATAGCCGTCATCCTGGATCCAAGCTCCGAAATTAGAGATTTCCGGCAGGTTTGTTTTGCCGTGTTTCAAGATGGCGATAACCGTAGGGTTATTGTTTATTGTTGGTGTTGTTGTCCGTTTAATTCTACTACAGACTGATTTACCACAATGGGTAGCGAACAAGAACGAAGTAATAACCCCACTTACCGCCTGGGAAAGAGGTATATCAAATTACTTTTCATTTGACCAATCTATCAAACCTAATTCAATTTACTTTTGTGTCAATGTGATCTCACTGACTCAGTTCAGTACCGGTAGTCTAGATCTAATATAAGTGAATTGATGAAAATTTAAGCTGTCTATATTTGTGTAACAATATTTTAATTCTATCCAATTATACATGTACCAAGTGGCAAGAACACCTGTGTTTTTGCGGTAAATGTTGTTAAGAACATGGGGATCGAGTCTGCACGCCCACAGTTACAGTAGTGGCGCAATGAGGAGATGCTGGCTCAGACTCACTTACCAGATCCGGGATTCGATCCCAATGTTGGCCAGATCCGGGATTCGATCCCAATGTTGACCGAGAAACTGCCTTCAGATCTTTAAGGATGATTTCTCCTTGTCAGTGGTGTATAACAAAGGGACAGCTTCAGTTATCCCGATGTGAAGAAAAACTTAGGTCCTGTGTAGGTATAAATGTTGGCATGCACATAAATAGTAAATTAACCCTTGACAGTTGAAATTTTGTGAAGATCAGGCAGAATGCTGCTGTCCGAGTAAATATCCCTTAAGGTATAAAGTGCGCCCATCTTTGTTATAAAACTAGTAATGGAAGTTGGACATACTTCTTCAGTTGTACATTGCTGAAAAACAATAAAGCTGTTGTCCGAGAAACTTTGTCAGGATTTTCCAGTCTGATCCCCGCTTGTCAGTAGAATTATACGCTTTTTGAGTGTTCAAAAAAATAGAGGACTTTTGTGGTAGCACTTTAAAAGTCTCCTGGAAATCGTAATGACAGCGGGTTGTAGCGCCACTGCCAGGGTAAAATTTCTACCATAAGACATTGCATGTCTTATATGTATGCCCATCTTCATTGATCCGGTTGATGCGGATTAATAGGACATTAAACCCTGTTTCATTTCCTTAAAGGGGCATTATGGGAGATTAGCTAGAGAGTTGACAGTTCTCACTATAGTAGGTAAAAAATAGATAATGTAAATAGAATATGCTAAAAATTCCAGTCAAATTGCTCCACTCTTAACCGAGATATTAGCTTTTGAATTTTAGGCTAGCCTCAATCATCATTACTAAAGTCAATACGATAAAATACCATCTCGATTTTTACGTTTCATTATTTTGCAAAAAATCTATTCCAGTTCGCTAAATATCGCTGGCTGGTATCGAGAGTTGATTATAGTCTGGATAAGTTAATGTCTAATAATTTAGGGAACGTTTCAGGCCTTAAGAAAGACCTGCAATAGGCAGTTTTAGCTCTTGCATAATGTATGTTTAAATAACAAACTATAACTCAGTATTCCAGTCTACACAACTTTAACTCAGTATTCCAGTCTAGTCTACCCAATTTTAATTGGACAGTACTATAGGATAGTATAAGGAACAGGTGGTAAATTCTATGGGATGTAAGAATCTCAGTAAGCTCAGTGTCTAGAAAGATAAGTCATTGAGTGACCACTGTTTTACCACCAGAATCTCTGTACATGTACTATATGTAATTATGTACTAATGAAGTTGTTTGTTTTTATTTCTAGTACAGGAAGGCCTGGCTCTAAAGAAGAACATGATATCACCATACGATGGCGATATATTTCATGAGGTACATGTAGAATTATTTTATTGGTTGTTGTTCTGGCAGTCTGATCTGGAGATAAACACTTCATGTTCCAAATGTAGAGGGAGTTTATTTATCATTTAGCATCTTCATTAGCCCAGTCGGTGCAGAAAAGTAGGACGTTAAAACCGATTTCATTTAATATCCATTTGATCATGCTTGAATCATTATAACATGAGATATCAACTACACAAATAATCCACATGGCTTTAATAGTGAGGGGGGGGGAGGGGGGGATGGCCGAATGGTTAGCATGTGTGCGCTGTATCATTGTTTGTCATTGAGTCAACTGACAGGGTTTTGATTCCATGACAAGGTGTAGGGTCGGTTATCCAACCTCATGGGTTTTGTCCAAGTCCTCTGGTTTTCCCCCACTACTAAAGACCCCTACGCTCAAGCGAATCATTGAAATAAAATTAAACCATATGTTAGTCCCGAAATGACCTGGTTTGTGTCGAGTGGACGTAAAACCCCATTTCTGTCTTTCTTTCTAGTGAGTTAAATGGCTGATGTCTGGAACAAGACAAATCTGCTGACAAAACATCTACGTGTACATACAGACATTGCAAGAAATAAACATAATTTTTTTTTTAAAAAATTAACAACAAAAAGGACGATAATCCAGATAGAATCTTGGAAAATGCTAAAAGAGAATAAGTAAAAGGAGCTAAACCTTGGCTTATTTACTAACTTGCAGCAAAACAGTCTCCAAGAAATTGATTATATCTAAATGCTGGCTTTATCTATGGACGTAAAACTTTAACAAAGACAGGCTGCCATTCCACAAAACACATCAACGGAACTGACAATTTTATTTTTGATAATTTGGCCCAAATTAAAAGTTTAGTTATTTCAAGACATATTGCACAACAAAGTACTTAATTTTCATCTAATTTTGACGACTTTTCTTTTATTTTAGACACCAATTCTGTTAAAAATCATGGAGATTGTCAATAATTTTCCTACTGGAAGTAAATATTTCTTTGTGGTAAGTAAACAAGTATATATATATAAACATTGCTGTTCTAATCCAGTACCAACTTCATGGGTTTTCTCCGGAACCTCCAGTTTCCTCCCACTGCTAAAGACCCCTACGTGCAAGCGAATTATTGAAATAAAATTGAACCATATGTTAGTCCCGAAATGACCTAGTTTGTGTCGATTGGATCAACCCGCATTTCTCTATCTCTCACTCTAATCCAGTAAAATGCAGAAGTATTTTTTTTAAATGGTCAGTTTGGTGGGTCAAAGTGAGTATGACTCTTTTTAGCAGACTCCTGGTGTGGGCCAAGAAGAGCCTTTCTGGATATTTCAAGCTTTATTCTCACTAGACAGCAGAGTTGATGCTAGCATGGCGGACAAGTATTGTGTGCCTGGTCAGTGGGATGCGAAGGAAAATTGAGAACCCTTGTACATTTTTGGTAGATCCCTTGGCATTAGAATTTGAAGAAGAGAAGGCAAAATACTGCTGTCTTGGCAAAATTGTCCACACCTGTATTCTAGTCTCCTAATGACTGCCGTAAAATGTCCTCACGACATTAAATCCCGATTACCTACATTCTTTCAACAGATTTTGATTTTATTTTATTTTACAGATTCTAGATCTATGGATGGGTTTGTTATTATTGTCAATTACTAATAAATTTGCTGTTTACAAGGTGAGTACCGGTATTTATTCTTGATGAACAACCCTAGTTATTTATATATTTACCAACCGGTTGCTCAGTGAATAAAGCACTAGTACAATAACCACAAGGTCCCTGCATCGAATCAGGTGATGACCAGGACAGTACCTCGGGATCTTCCAGTGTGTTTTTATTTTGTGCCTTCATTGAATTGTTGTCGTATATTATTGTCACCTCTGTCTGTCATCCATAATTGATTGTAGTCACTCTAGAGCAGGGATGTCAAACATGCTGCCCGCAGGCTAGATCCGGCCCGTCAAGGGTTTAAATGTGGCCCGTGCACAAACAGACATGTCAATAATTCTTTGAAACTAGCAGTGGAAATCATTTATTATTGTTTTCCAGTTTCAGTAAATCTCTGTTCTGTATGTCATAGATATCTAAGTTGCATGTAATACGAAATGTTGTGTTCAATATTATATCTTGACAATTTGGAAACCAGTCTAAAACATTACCTGTGTCAAAGATGTTTGGCTTTGTTTTTAGAATTCAGTAAAGTTCAAGGACGTTTGGCTTTGTTTTTAGAATTTGTGTATATCTCCGACCCACTTGGTGTAAAATTTTAGTTTATATGGCCGCTGAAACGAAATGATTTTGATACCCCTGCTCTAGAGGCTAAAGTTATTATCTGATTGCCTTGACATTTAGAGTTTAAGTTCATAAGACAAAGATGCCGATTGATTTCCATTATCAGAGTTATTGCCCTTTTAACGCTTGCAAAATCTTGTGAACTCTCTTGGGGCTAAAGTTTATTATCATTCAGTGGTTTGCAAATTGTACCTAGTGTTTTAAATTCATGAGATGAATGGTATCTTATTGATGTTTCATGATTTCCAATAACTCAAACAGCTGAACTTATCGTCTGATTACTTCACTACATGTTTTGGTGGCCGAATTGTTAGCATGTGCGCGCTGTATCTTAAGGCCTGTCATTGAGTCAACTGGCAGCGGCACTGTGGCCTACTTTTATATCAAATTTCAACTGCCAAGGGATCTTTTATGTGCACGCCAATGTATACACGGGTCCTCAGTTTTTCATCCCATCTGAATGACTAGACAGCTGTCCTTGTTAGGCATATTTATCAAATGGTACATGTAACTTATATTTAACAGTTAAAACAACAGGCTGAAGGGGTGAAGAAATATTCGGTTGATGTTGAGAAGATTATTTTGAGGTCGAAAGATTTGAGACATTTAGGAAGTTATGTTATCGCAGTGTAAGTTTTATGTATGTTTTTATACGCTCGCATTTTCAGAATGTCAAAGGCCTACAGTTGAGTAGACATAAGAATATTGGGCAACGGACCAGGTGCCAGCCTAAAAAAGAAAATATCTCTACCAAGCAAAACTAAAATATGTTCACTGTTGCTAATTACAGTTTAACTTACGAAATGCTGGTTATCAGGATTAACACAGAACTCAATTCTATGTCACTCAATTTTAATTCAGAACATTGCTGATTCTACAATCAGGCACCACTCAAGACTACATTCTAAAAATATAATCTCTGTTTGATTATCTCACAATTCTACTGACAAAACATTGGTTATCAGGAATAACAGAAGCTTATATTATATTCATGGCAGGTACAGATCCAACGAAAACATCTTTTAGAGTTAGATATTCCCATAGTTTAGTTAAAATTAATCTCCCCGCGTTATGCTACAGCTTATATTACATGTATGTTTATAGATATATGTTTTAATTATTTCAGTCATAGGGGGGTGGAGGATGGACTAATGGTTAGCCTGTGTCAATCATTGAGTCAATTGGCGTGGTTTTGATTCCTTGGTTGTACGTGACAAGGAATAGGGTTGTCTGTCCAACCTCATGGGTTTTCTCCGGGTCCTCCAGTTTTCCTCCCACTGCTAAAGATCCCTACATACAAGCAAATTATTGAAATAAAATTGAACCATATGTTAGTCCCAAATTGACCTAGTTTGTGTCGAGTGGATGTTAAACCCCATTTCTCCATCTCTTTGTTTCAGGCATTTTTTAAATCCTTACACTATATCAACATGTTTAGCCAGATCAACGGCCTCGGTGTCAAATTTAGCTGTCATTTATATCTTCTACTATATGTTACACAGTAAGTAGAGATATATTTTTTATATTGTCCTCTGGGAGCCACGGTGGCTAAGTGGGTAAGACCCTGGCTCGCTATCTGGAGGTCACATGTTCTATCCCTGCATTGGCCGAGAAAGTTTCTCCTTGTCAGTGGTGCAGGACAGAGGGCCTGACAAGGACAGCTGTCTAGTTGTTCAGATGGGACGGAAAACCGAAGTCCCGTGTACATATCGGCGTGTACATAAAAGATCCCTTGGCAGTTGGAATTTGATATAAGAGTAGGCCATTGTGCCACTGCCCAGGCAAAATTTCCCTCATAGCACACTATATGGCATAAGCCTATCTTTATTAGCCCAGTTCAGAGCAGAACAGTAGGATGTTAAACCCCATTTCATTTCATTTATATTGTCCTCACCCACGTGTCAGTCTGTCAGCCACAATTGTTCCAGAGGCTAAAATTGATCTTTTTGAAGAAATGCTGTAGACACTACAGAAGTTATTATCCCATCCATTTTAACTTCATATACACAGTGTTTAAGTCCAAGGTCATTAAACGAAAAAGTCTAATGATTTCCAATAATTACTTTTAGAGCTATGGCCCTTGAACAATTTGAAAAATCATGTGGATGCTGTAGTGGCTAAAGTTTTTTTCCTCTTGATCTGAAATTAATACACAGTGTTTCTTTGAAGAATCCTGTTGATTTTCAATGATTTCCGATAACCCAAACAGCTTAAAATTATCATTTGATTTCTGGTACATGTAATGTATAATAAATATTAGCAACACTCATTATCAAACTTAATCAGTCAGCTTTAAACTAGACAAATTAGATGATATATTTGGTGATTTTAAATGATTTTTACGAATTTTTAAACAAAGATTTGGTATTAAACGAATGTGAACAAAATTAGTGCTAGATACACAAGATTAAATGATACCCAGGTTACAGTGATGTAGTGTTAAAAAACTGAGCCATACAGATGGAGTGTGAGAAAGATAAATTTTAATTAGATTATGAATGTCCATTAGTAAATATTAAAAACTATGTTTTTTATTTTTCAGATAAATTGATTCTATGTACTTTTTTCATTGCCGTGGCAACATACCAATCATTTTATCCATTTATATTAGTTGCACCTGTGGCTTTATATTTCTATATTCATCAGGTGAGTTCAACTTATATTTCTCTATATATATCAGGTGAGTTCAACTTATATATTCCTCTATATATTTCAGGTGAGTTCAACTTATATGTCTGTATATATAATATATATGACCATCTTTATTAGTTCGGTTTGTACCAAAAAGTAGGACATTAAACTCAATTTCATTTCAGTAGTACATTGAGCAGAAGGGCTGAATTATTGCTTGACAATTGGATAGGTTTATCAAAACTTTTATGCCTAATAGAACTGTATGGTAGGGTGACCCACCATAAATAAATATCTCCATATATCTCGACAATTTCGCCACAATATTTATATATATGCCAAGCCTCAAATCAGTTTCACACAATTATAGTCACTAAATAAACGATCATGTTGTACTTAATAAGCTATGACCATTAATCATGTATAAATAATAGACTGAAAACTGGTTCCATGTGTCGTCCATAACATCCAGACACTTTTGAGTAAAAGATAGGTTACGTGCCCTTGTTTTGAAATTAGTCTCGCTTAACCAGTCTATCGACCATTCTAGGGCTGATTGACAGGTCGGGATAATCAAGACTACTTTTTTACGAAACATAACAGAAAGCTAGAACAAGAAATTGAATTTAGAAATGAGCACGTTAGCTAGCTCAACAATTGTTTTAAGAAGCTTGTAAAAGTAAAATGAAACTACTGCTAGTATCATGTTCCTGCCTTACCCGAGTGTTTCAGAGATATTATTTGTACTAAACCAAAAGATGCCGCTCTTAACGGTACTGTTAATGATAAAGCGATTTAAAAAATGAAACGAACGTAATTTCTAAATCTGCTGTAATAACCAAGAAGCTTAATTTTACTGCTATTGAAAATCGTCAACAATAATTTTTTTACGGCTGTAATAGTTGATAGATTTGTAGAGAATTGCACGTGCCATGGCTATTTATAGTATCATACTGTCAGAAAGTTGGCCTCGACACGGCGAATGTGCACGCTTCAGTGGTAGTCTCGAACTATCAGCGGTTGACTGTATTTCTGTAGGTGCGTGAGTCACCCTATGTATGGGCAAATAAATTTTTTTTTAAAAATATGGTCCTTTATAAGTGATAAAATTGTCAGGCCCTCCGTCCTGCATCACCGGCAAGGGGGAACCATGCCAGAAAATCTGGTTGAACTTTCTCGGCGAATGCAGGGATAGAACAACCGACCGCCAGGCTAGTGAGTCAGCGCCTTACCAACTTAACCATCGTGATCCCCCTGACAAGTTTGTTGATTAACGCAAGTTTGTTTGTCTTGTTGAGAGCAGGTTAGTCTTGTAGGTTTTGTTTGGGTGTCTTGCCGTGTGTTTATCTATACCATCCATCAAACTTGCTAGCAGGGTTGCGTGACACAATGATTAACACGTGCGCGTTGGATCATTGTGTCAAGGGGTGCGGTTTCGATTCCCCGCTTGTACGGGACAAGGATGAGGGGCACCTGTCCAACCTCGTGGCTTTTCTCCAGGTCCTCCGATTTCCTCCCACTGCTAAAGAAACCTACGCGCAAACAAATTATTGAAGAAAAAATAGAACCATATGTTAGTCCCGATATGACCTAATTTTGTGTCAAGTGGACATTAAATCCCATTCCTCTCTCCAAATTCTCTAAAAATCAACACCTATTTCAAACCTTTTTATACTTTGTTTATTTGTTGATTTTTTTTGTCATTTTAGACTTCACCAAAGAGTGTTACATCATATAACAGTTCTGGGGCTATATTTAGTTACACACGAACATGTCTTCTATCTATTGGTTGGTTGATGGTATTATTAGGTTTATCGTGTGTTATGGAAGGATCATGGAGTTTTCTCTATTCTACATATGGATTCATGTAAATATTTTTCTTTTTTTTTTTCATGCTTTATCTCCAGGGGATTTCCCCTCCTGGAAAAGCCTTGAAGTCTTTTTGTAACATATGCACAAGCAAATTATTGAAATAAAATTAAACCATATGTTAGTCCCGAAATCGAAATGACCTCTCTCTCTCTTTCTCTCTCTCTCTCTCTCTCTCTCTCTCTGTAATGGGGTATATAAACAAAAGAGAGTAATATTAGTCTGGAGATAAGAAGTTACTCTATATATTTTTTTATCGTTTTTTTCAGATTAACTGTTCCTGATCTATCACCAAATGTTGGTGTATTCTGGTATTTTTTTACGGAGATGTTCGAACATTTCCGTGTTTTCTTCATCTGTGTTTTTCAAATAAACGCAGTCGTTTATACAGTTCCTTTAGCTGTTAAACTCAGGTACTTGTACATTTATTTTCTGAATTCAGAATTGTGAACTGTGAAAGTCTTTCGGTGAATTCACCCTCATACTAGAAAAAACATATTGATTGAAGAATGATTCAAATCAATCTGTTTTAACATGTTATTAGTATTTTCACGTTTCTCGTTAACCAACAAATCTGATATATTTAAGTATTGAGAATTATGCATTTGAAATTTGTGCCATATAACATTTATGTAAATAGCGTTCTGTATCGGAATATATATGTATGAAATATTAAATCACAAATGAATGTTATTATTTGATGTCCACAGATATAACAACAGAACGCAAATTTCAAACACATAATTCTCAATACTTAAATATATCAGATTCGTCGGTTCGCGAGAAACGTATTAGTATTTGAGTTTCTCATTGCTTTCAGTTGATTTCATGACAACATCTTTGTCTGTCTGTCTGTCAGCTGCTGAAGAATAACTCAAACCTCCGACATCTATAACCTTGGATGTTTTTTTTTAATTGTCTAGAGCAGTGTTGCTATATTAAAATTTTCCCTGTCAGACATTTTTACCAAAAAAAGAAAATAAAGGGGTGTAACACTTAGCGTTTTTGAGGCAGACAGATTCTGGCCACATTTAAAAATCATGTGTCAATTAATTTTGGAATTTTGAATATTATTCACCATGTCTTGATGTCCGATTGAGCATATTCCTGGTCAGACGTTTGGAAAATAGTGTAGGACATGCCCGGAATATATAGGTGAAATAGCATCAGTGGTCTAGAGCCACGATGGCATAGGACATGTTTGGAATATACAGGTGAAATAACATCAGTGGTCTGGAGCCATGATGGCATAGGACATGTTTGGAATATACAGGTGAAATAGCAGCAGTGGTCTGGAGCCACGATGGCTCATGTGTAAAGCACTACCTCTCTAACCAGAAGGTGTCTGGTTGAATCGAGCGGTTGGCCGAGAATATGCCTTATGATTTCTCAGCTTGGTTTCCCTGTGTCAGTGGTGCAGGATGGAGGGCCTGGCGAAGAATGAGATGAAAAATTGAGTTGTACATGTTGGCATGAACAACAAATCCTGTTTGAATTCAATAACAATGGTAGGCAGAAACGTCATGGTTGGAGCAAAACTTTCCATATAACACACTGCATGGCTAGATCTATTTGTTAAGACCAGCTCAATTTTTGACAAGGTCGCTGAGATGTAAATAAGGTTAGTGCACGTGATTGTTGGCGAGATTGTGGGTTAGGGTTAGGGTAAGCATTAGGGCTAGGTCCAGTGTTTACATCGCGTGACCTTTACCAAACTTGAAGATGGCCTTATCAAATAGATCTAAACCAAACTGCATAGGGTATTTTTGTCTAAAAAAAAAAAATCTTTTCAGTTCTTATTTGAGTTAAATTTTAAATAATAAATATTGTTAGCCTTCTAGTGCTTTGAGTGTTTAAGATATATTTATATTATATTTCAGGAAGAATCCAGTGTTTTTCCTCTATATGTTAATATTTTTAACGAGTATATTTAAATCGTATCCTAGTTACAGTGATGTTGGTCTTTGTTTAACATTACTACCATTGTGGAAACATACATTTTCATGTAAGTAGTCTTGATGAACCAGCCAATTAACTTCCAGTTATTGTCTCTAACTACTAGTATAGTAGTCTCACTGAACCAGCCAACTAACTTCCAGTATAATATATAGTCTCTAACTACCAGTATAGAAGTCTCTACCTTGCAGTATATATATAGTAGTCTCTAACTCCCTGTACAATAGTCTATAACTATCAGTACAGAAGTCTCTATCTTGCAGTGTAGTAGTCTCTATCTTGCAGTGTAGTAGTCTCTAACTTCCAGTATAGTTGTCTCTAATGTCCAGTATTATTAACTTTGATGTCCTAATAAACTTGATATAGTGACACTATTAGTAGTTAAACTTGATATAGTGACACTATTAGTAGTAGTGGTTATAAACAAACTCATGGGTATTACGAAACTATCTTAATCTAAGTGTAAAAGGAGCCACAGTGGCTAAGTGAGTAAGACACTGGCTCGCTAGTCTGGAGGTCGCGGGTTCGCTCCCGGTGTTGGCCGGGTAAGTTCATCAGGATCTTCCCCTTGTCAGTGGTACAGGGCAAGGAGAGCTGTCTAGTCCTTCGAAGGAGATGAAAAAACCGAGGTCCTGTGAATACATTGTCGTGCATGTAATAGATCCCTTGACAGTTAGAAATCGATATAAGAGTAGGTCATAGTGTCGCTGTCCGGGCAATATTTCCCTCATGCTGTATGCCTGTCTTCATTAATCCAGTCGATGCAGTTGGATGTTAAACCCCATTTAATTTTATATTTTCAGATATGCGTAATAGTTTTGTTGTAGCATGTATGTATATATGTTGTACAGTATTCGCTCCTGTATTGTGGCATCTATGGATTTACGCTGGAAGTGCTAATGCCAACTTCTACTTTGCTATAACATTAGTATTTTCAACTGCTCAGGTATGTATGTAGGGTGTCAAACACCATTTCATTATATTTCCATATTCCTGAGGGTGGGGTGGGATGGGGGGGGGGGCGAATGGTTAACACACGTGTGTTTAGTCATAAGGTCTGTCATTGAGTCAACTGGCATGGTTTCGATTCTCCGGGTGTATGTGAGGAAGTACGGTCGCCTGTCCAACCTCTTGGGTTTTCTCTGGGTCCTCCTATTTCCTTCCACTGCTAAAGACCCCTAGGCGCAAACGAATTATTGAAATAAAATTGAACCATATGTGAGTCCCGAAATAACCTAGTTTGTCTCTCTCTCTCTCTCTCTCTCTCTCTCTCTCTCTCTCTCTCTGTGCATGTAAAAAAAGACCCCTTGGAATTCGATATAAGAGTAGGCCGTAGTGCAGCTGTCCAGGCAAAATTTCCCTCATAGTACACAGTATGGTGTATGCCCGTCTTCATTGGCCCAGTCGGACGTTAAACCCCATTTCATTTCTTGTGTTGATTTATACACCACTGAAGATTTTGTAGAATTGGAAACAGGAAAGGGTACGGCAACACTCCCTTAGTAAGTTGTTAAAGCTGGACAGGTTTTATACATCTGCGTGGATACTGGATCAAAAGAAGATGATACCGGTGAGGCGAAGGTGTAGGATAATATAATTTAAAGGATAATATAAATTAAATTATTTTGTAGAATTGTTCCAGATCTGCATTATTTAAAACGATACTTGGTTTGTTTTTTTTTACAGATATTTTTAGTAACGGATCTGCTGTTTGCGTTTCTAAGAAGAGAATATGATCTATATAATGGTACGACCCATAAATTAGAAAACGGTGAAACAACACAAATTATATTAGAATAATGATTCGAACAATTTACAACACAAAACGGAAAAAATTTTAATCAAAAAAATGGCGAAACAACACAGATTAATTTAGATTAATGATTTAAACAATTTAAAAAAACAAAGTAGAAAAATGTTTTATCAACTATAAAAATGAATTGTGATGAAATCAGATGTCATTTTATTCTGTTCTACATGCAAATACAAGCAAATATCATTGAATACAGCTATTAACTACTTTTGTCCAGAATGACGTCACTTTCAGAATTACGTCAAACTGTAATGACGTCAACACTAGCGACCACAATTTTTATAAAAAAAGAAAGAAAAAAGGGCGGAACCTATGATGAATTTTAACGTTATTGGTGAATATGTTTTTGATATCGGTAATCTGGATAGTACAGTGTATTTTGAAATTTACATGTAGTTATAGAATAAAAACAGAACTCAATGACCATTAAATACCGCTCAGGTTATTCAATGGTTCAAGAGAGTGTATCCCTTCGCAAGTATTCCACAAGCGCGCTATCTATATATTTAAAACTATTAATGGTTAAATCTGTAATGTCACCAGAATAAGAACGGTATTGAAGCTTGTATTGTTTGCCTTTTAACATTGTAACTTGGGTATCATTCAATCTTGTTATCTACCACTAACTTCTTTCACATTCATTTAATATCAAATCTTTGTTTAAAAATTCATAAAATCGTTTAAAATCACCCAAAATCATCTAATTTGTACTTGTGTCCAGTTTAAAACTGACTAATTTTGATAATGAGCGTCCAATTTACAAGGGTTTAATTTCCTGACAACTGTTCAAAAATTATACATCAATAATCAATTGGGTTGTTTATTTTTTATCAGTGATCGAGTAATTAAACACTTGTAAATTGAAAACTCATTATCAAAATTGAATGGTCAGCTTGAAACTGGACACATGTACACATTAGATGATTTTTGGTGATTTTAAACGATTTTTACAAATTTTTAAATAAAGATTTGATATTAAACGAATGTGAAAGAAATTAGTGCTAGATACACAAGATTAAATGATACCCGGGTTATGGTGTAAGGGGCAAATAGCTCTATTCTTCGGAACCTTAAAATAGACGAAAATGGTTCTAAAATCTAAAAGCACATGTTCATATAATATGAGTGTATGTATATAAAGTAATTCATGTATATAAAGTAATTCATATCCAATTTTAAAAATTTTTATTCTAATTTCTAATCAATTATGTTGGGTGAAATATGCGCACAATCTAAATTGAAGAAAAGTCATTTGCACCTGCTTAGTCCATTCTACACGTTTTTTTTCTTTCATTTTTATTTTTTTTGTCGTCTGTGAATCAGCCATTTTTATAACTCCCGCTTTGTCTTCTGGGATATGTTGGGTTTTTTTGGTCATTACAAATGGCGCTCAAAACATTTATGGCCAAAAAATACAGAGTTTTGGAGTTAATTAAAAAAAATTTAATTGTGTCTTAAATATTGGATATTACTATCACATATTTTCACGTCAAGATAACAACATCAGTATTAATTGAAATTGACCAATATTGAATTCTAATTCTTGTTTTTAATTTTCAATATTATGGATGATATTTAATTAGAGGTTTACCTCCTTTCACTAAATGTTGATTAGTTTATGTCATTTTATTCAAATCAAAGACATTACAAGTACAATGATCCATTGAACAACATCATTGAACAACATCATTGAACAACATCATTGCAGAGGGGAATACTAGGGAGCCAGCGTCTTATGGCAAGGAAAGAAGTGTCTAGTGGTTTGAAAGGAATGAAATACTATGTTCATCTTCATTAGCCTGGTTGGTGCAGAAAAGTAAGACGTTAAACACCCATTACAGTTTATTTCATGTGTGAGCTCCTACTTTTCTGCTCTGACTGGGCTAATGAAGACGGGGTACGTACTAGATATATAGCTCCCACTGTTAAAAAAAATCATGTCATAGAATTATTTAGATAATATTTTGATGTAAATTTCTTTATACACACCTAGGAATAAAATTTTTGTAATAAAAATATGTTTATACAAGAACCCTAGTTGAAATAATTTCTCCATCTTCTTTTTAACCTTTGAACCAGGAACTGCTTGCCTACACTTGATAATCATAGTCTTTGGGTAAGGCTCTTCAAAACGAATTTGGCTACAATTGACTTAATCTTGGTATGTTTGTTCTTTGGACAATTGCACATGGATTGATGGACTTCAATTTTTGATATGATGTCAGGATTAGAGATGCCGCCGATGATGTCATTTTTTCAGAGGTTTCTAGTTCATATAGTGGGCTTTTGCTTATTTTGAGAAAATGTCTAACTGGCCCTTGTTTAAGGTGCTCTTCCCATACTGTGAATAAGCATCACCCAAGCCAAGGAATTTATCCAGCAGTTTAGGAGATGAAACAAAAATGCCAAGATATTGAGTCATAAAGTTTCCTCATCCCCTCCCCAAATTTTATTTGAACAAATATGAATACCCGCCGTCTAAGCCAGTGTTTCTCAACCTTTTTTTGCAAACGGCACCTCTTGGAACACATGAAAAAATAGCGGCACAAATGGCTAAATATATATGAAAAATATTTGAATTTTGCAAAGAAAAACAAACATGGCACGTCATAGACGGCATAAAACCGTCAGACTAGTCATAGACACATAGAATAACTCAAACTAAATAAAGAAAAACACAGCTATGTTCCGTTCAAAATTTCGCGGCACACTTAGGAAGATATTTTAAATTTGCTAGAAATAAATCAAGCCGTTCAAGAGAAGAAGATGACCATTAAAAAAGTTACAGGATGGATGACAGATAAATTGGGTGGGGGATATGAAAGCCCTCTCTCATGAGACATTGCCGCTATTGTTGTTCTTAAAGGGACAATAACACTCTTGCTGGCTTGACAGCTCCAGAAAATAAAAAAAATAGCCTTATTCTAAGTACTAGGTGTGTTAGTGTCTTACCATTTGTGTAAATTATCCATTAAATCCTATTTTACTTGTCCAGAGGGTTCAAAAATATTTTTAAATCCAAGTCACATTTGAAAAGCTTTACGTCAGGCTTTTCAAATCATTTAGTTGAATTTTTCCAATTTTTTAAATTAGGTGTGTTAAGATGAACTTTGTATGATCAATTAATTGGAATATTGTAAAATAGTGCAATTTGTTGACCAGAATAAAGATTGGGACATATTATTCAGTTACGACAAGAGTGGTATTGAGCCTTTAAACAGAAGCATGCAGCAATGGAGTCTTCACTAAATATGTCATGGTAACAAAAAAAAAGATAAAAATTTCTAAAATAGTTATCCTTAGTGGGGTCCGGCGTGGTTTTCTCTTAAGAATGATGCAGGACGGATGTCCTGACAAGGACAGATGTCTAGTCGTTCGGATGGGACCAAAAATCGAGGTCCCGTGTACACATTGGCATGCATGTAAAAGATCCCTTGACAGTTGGAATTCGATATAAGAGTAGGCCATCGTGCCGCTGTCGGCAAAGTTTCCCTCATAGCACACTGTATGGCGTATGCCCGTCTTCATTAGCCCAGTCGGAGCAGAATTTTAGGACGTTAAACCCCATTTTATTTCATTTCCTTAGTGGTTTCATATTTGTGGGGCAAAGGATGAGGTAAATAGAATGCCTGTTACACCAAGCGGAGAGAGTTCGAAACATTTGGTATAATTACAATGCATAATGGCCAAACACTATCGTGACCTACAATATCAAATATATTCGTTTATAATAATATTATAATAATAATTTATTTATATATCGCCGACAATTCAACTCAGCGAGCTGCTCCCAGGCGCTTTACACAAGTAGAACTAATATAAAATTATAACAATCCATAAAAAAGACATAAACAAAAAAAACAGAACATTATTTAGTACACATGGTAAAAGTCTGACACAACGACAGCTCGGACCGTATTCAATCAGTTGTATATTTGATTCAAAAGTTCGGTTTTGAGATACTTTTTAGAACCTTTTACACACCAGAAGAAAATTCAGCCAATTGCTGTTTTAAGGAGCTTTACCAAGTTTTAGACGTCATATTTATATTACATTAAGAATAGAGTTATAAAAAAAGATATAATTCCACATATGTAAAATAACCCGCAAGTCAATATTGATATAAAACAGATCTACGCTAGTACGTCTGATGGGTAGTGGGTTTGCTATAATCGAATTGCATTCCATAATCTGGCACTTGGTATCAAAAAGAAAATTGGCCAAAAGGAAGTAAATGAAATGCAGGGCCGGTTTTTGGCACATTTGACTAATTTCCCCAAATTGGCCCCCGCACCTCACAAACTTAAAAAATTGTCCAGGCAATCTGGCAGCCGTGCTGCCAAGTGTGGCTATTTTCAGGTATTAATGAAGTAAAGAGAGAGAGAGAAATGGGGTTTAACGTCCACTTGACACAAACTAGGTCATTTCGGGACTAACATATGGTTTATTTTATTTACATAATTCGCTTGCGCGTAGGGGTCTTTAGCAGTGGGAGGAAACCGGAGGACCCGCAGAAAACCTACGAGGTTGGACAGGCGAACCTACTCCTTGTCACGTACAACCGGGGAATCGAAACCCCGCCAGTTGGCTCAATGACAGACCGTATGATACAGCGCGCGCGAGCTAACCATTCGGCCACCCACCCCCCCCCCCCCCCCCCCCCCTTAGTGAAGTAAAGCATAGTTGGCCTAACATATGAATGAATATAGACAAGGTTTCTGGGTTATATTCCCGATTGTTTTTCAATTTTGAGTGAAGTCTGTATCACTACAGGCCTGATACTGTACAGCCCTTACGGATAGCCCACGGATTCATTCACTTAATCTGATATATGCCTTTTTGGTGATTTCTGCGTATTGTGTCTTGTTCGTAGATTTGTTTTGTGTAATTTTGTCTGGTGCATATCCACATTCAGAAACAGATCACTGTAAACGTGCAACTGTATGGGTTTCCTTGGTATTATGGATGGTGTTGCTTTATAAGCAAAATATTAAATAATAAAACTCGATTTGAATTAGACAGGAGGAAAAGGAGCGTCTTACTTTTTTGATGGAAAATGGAAATACCCCACATTGATTGGGAAGATGGTTAAACAGAAATTTTTATGTCATGTGTCGGAAAATATTCCCCAAAAGATATGAAATCAAATGGGGTTTATGCTCCTATAATTGGCTAATGAAGGCAGTCTGCTATGAGGGAAATTTTTCCCGGGCAGCGGTACTATGGCTCACTCTTAAATCGAATTCCAACTGCCAAGGGATCTTTTACATGCACGCCAAAACGAACGACTAGACAGCTGCCCTGCATCACTCACAAGGCGAAACCACGTCGGCCAATGCAGGGATCGAACACGCGACCTCCAGACTAGCGAGCCAGTAGGACATTAAACCCCATTTTATTTCATTTCATTTCATTTCTAGTGGGGAATATAAATCCGACACATGACACAGAAATTTCGGTTTAGCCATCTTTCCATTCAATTTAGAACGAAACAATTTCATGAGCCTCTTGTTTTTAACAATATCACTATCCTTGATCTGCTACTTCTTACTTCTCTGTTTTGCTCTCTCCGCAATTTCACTCACCTGGATCTGTCCAATAGATAGATATTTTATTACATAAATCACCCTTTTCGTATATATAAATCGTATATTATGACAATATTAGGAATAAAAAAATACATAAAAAGAGGATGAAAAATACATAAAAAGTGGATGCTATAGGCTACATTAGGAAACTATGTACAAAAGCTACATTAGGAAACTATGTACAAAAGCTACAATTTCATATTTGTAAGTTATATTTTTAAAATTGATTAAAATAGAGCCTTAAAATAGATGGTATCCATAAACCGTCCTACCTTGTTAAAGAATAATCCTATTAATCCTATAATTCACTATTGCCAGCTGAGAAATTGGCAAAAATACCATTTTCAACTTCAAATTCCAACGTTTGAAGGTAGCTAATGCATGGAGGCAATAGGAAAACAAGGGAGGTAATTGTGTTATTATTTCCTGTGTCAATGATTTTTAAGGGTGGTTAAATAATGCCAATGGTCTATAATAGTGAGTTGATAACCTATTGAGCAAAAGACAGAAATAATTATGTTTTGACTTTCTTAGAAAATATGAAATTATCGCTTTAAGAATAGACGATAGTCGCTTGGACTTAACAAAATCAATTTTGGGTTATTTTTGGTTAATATAGAAGGGGTGATATCCCTTTTGTAAAGCATACTGTGTATACAAAGCTAGATGAACAGCACGGGTGAGCGCGGCATCTATTTAGCACGCGGTGGTTTCCTGTCACCAATACCGTATTATTTGGAAAAGCTGAAAGCCGTCGAATATCACAATGACTTGGGAAAAGGGGATAATGCAAAACAATCAGACATCGTACAGGACGACCTGTTTCGAAAGGCAAAGCCATGCACGGGAATAGATTTAACTCCTAGGTATAATAAGACGGGCATACCCGGCCAGCAACTGGACTCCAGTTGTCAAGGGATCTTTTACGTGCACACCAAAGGCTGAAAATCTAGATCAGGAACTTTCTCCACCTACAACTTAGTTGATTGTTAAACAACACTTTTATGAGAAAGGTGTAACGTTCGTGTGCTTTATCCTTTATTATCAGATGGTGGGATGGGATGGGTATTTAAAGTGTGAAGTAATGATATTCTTATGATGGGGTTGGTGTAGAAAACACTAAAACACTCAATATCATTTAAAGTAATATCCTTTATTCTAAGTGAGTATTAATCTCTCTCTCTCTCTCTCTCTCTCTCTCTCTCTCTCCCATTTCTATACAAATCTCTAAACTTATATAGCCTTCTACGTATTTAAATACATGAATATTTATGAGATACTGGGCCTAATCTCAGAACTAAACTGGTACTGTGAATGGTATATATTAGATACAAGGATAGTAGGCTACTAATATAACAATATAGACAAATGTGATATCACAATTAATGATTTGCATCAACGAAATTGATTCACAATGTTATCCTGTGGATTTCTCTATTTAAAAAGCTCAGTGTGTATGTATGTATGCCTACGCGTAATTTGGAAACGACGGTGGCATCATACATTGTTAACTGTCAAATTTTCTTAAAAGGAACCTGACAAACGCCCTCCTGCAAAAATTCCTGGATCTGCCCCTGAACCTATCTTCATTATACCAGTTGATCTCGAATTGTTTCTTGTCAAATCCTCCACCCTGCACCACTGATAAGAGGGGAAATGAAATGAAATGAAATGGGGTTTAACGTCCTACTGTTCTGCTCCTAAACTGGGCTAATGAAGACGGGCATACGTCATACAGTGTGCTATAATGGGGGAAATTTTGCCCGGACAGCGGCACTACGGTCTACTCTTATATGGGATTCCAACTGTCAAGGGATCTTTTACGTGCACGCCAATGTGTACACGGGACCTCGGTTTTTCGTTCCATCCAAACGACTAGACAGCTGTCCTTGTCAGACCCTCCGTCCTGCATCACTGACAAGGGGGAACCACGCCGGAAAATCCGAATGAACTTTCTCGGCCAACTTTCTCCAGACTATAGCGAGCCAGCGTCTTACCCACTTAGCCACGTGCTCCCCGACAAGAGGGGAACCACGCTGGAAAATCACTGACCTTGGTTTTAATCCTGTTTTAATCCTTTATTGTTAAATATAAATAAAATTTTAACATACATTTGTAAAACAGACGCGTGGAATATTAACAAGAGGGCTGCAAGTTAAAGGATCTAGAATTTATTCTAAAAGGAATTAGAGCGAAGTGAGGTTAAATTTTGATTAATTAAAAGTCCTGATAAAAAGTTGCGTTTAAGATTTTTCTAAAAGACTATATAGCTTCTACTTTTTAATATGCTGTTCCATACAATGCAGACTATTTTTCTGCTAATAGTTTTATTGTATAGAAACATTCAATATGTAAACGTGAAAAGTAAAAATATATAAATTATACACGGGCACAAATTCATTGGAATAATGAAGGGTTGGGGTATCTTTGCTGCACCCAGAACTTGGTGATGTGCAAAAATTGGGGTACAGTACGTAGGCTGGCGTTTTGGCGCGACAGGCCCCCTTTTCAACACAGCTATTTCCAGCTCAATCCATTCTTGGCTTGATAATCGAGAAACGGTCACGTGACACACTGCGTGTTCGAATTTGTGGACGCCATTTTTGGAGCCGCTTATATGGTATGCAGTATCAAATTATATTTGATTAAAGACCAAATACCAGGTAATTTTGGCTAACAAACGAATTATAAATACTATCTATAAACTATTCCCATCATAACACAGTGTGGCTGAAACAGAAGCCTGCTCGTTTCTGCGCAACTTTCGTCTTACATGCCAGCTTTTTGCTGTATCCAGAGCTGTTATTTGTTTGTTTCGCATTCTGCTGCTAGCTCGAAGCTAACAGCAAGGTGTTTCATTCGCTGTTTGTCGTCTGCACGCTCATTTGGACAGTTGTCATTTTATTTTCACTTCTTAGTTGTACTAATACTGTTACGATTTGTGACAACTGTTCCAAATGAACGTGATAGTTTGTTAACAGAAGGAATTCTGTTTTTGTCACTCTTAAAATAAAAAAAAATTAGCAATATATCTCTAATCTAGCCAAGCCATACCCAAGTTTTTCTGGGAAATTCATCAATATTTGTTAAAAGTTTAAGACACCATTGACTTTAAAGCTGGTTCAATAAACACATGATGATAACCGGGTACAATTTCATTTGGTTATATCTGTAACATTGCAGTCTGTGTTCACTAGTATTAGGTCCTGACCAATCGGAGCCACAGTGGCAAAGCGGGTCAAACACTACCTGGCTTGCTAGTCTGGAAGTCGCATGTTTGATCCCTGCATTGGCCGAGAAAGTTCATTGGGATATTCCAACGTGGTTTCCCCTTGTCAGTGGTGCAGGAAGGGGGGTCTGACAAGGACAGCTGTCTAGTCGTTTTGATGGCACGAAAAACCGAGGTCCCATGTATACATTAGCGTGCACATAAAAGATCCCTTGGCAGATGGAATTCAATAAGCGTCATAGTGCTGCTGTCCTGGCAAAATTTCCCTGATAAGCACACTGTATGGCGTGTGCCCGTCTTCAGTGACCTTAGTCCAGTCGGAGCAGAATAGCCTACAGCAGGACATTTTAAACCCCATATGTTTCATCAGAGCTGTGAGTTGGGCCCTTGTCGAAACATCGCCAGAAATAAATTTTCAGGTAACTTGTATTCTATATACATGTACAGTTGCCAAAATAACTTCCAAGAAGCGTATTGATTTTAATCATTTTTATAAGAAATACAAATTTATGACCTAGGATTAACTCGCTAACTAGGTGTGTTTATGACCTAGGATTAACTCGCTAACTAGGTGTGTTTATGACCTAGGATTAACTCGCTAACTAGGAGTGTTTGCCGAGATACTTCCTCAGGATTTTCCGACACGGTTTCAGTTGACGTTATTGGTGAAGGACGGGGAGCCTTGCTTTAAACTGTAGTCATTCGGATGGTAGGCCTACACATTAATTAGTGTGCACGTAAAAGAACTAATGACAGTTTGAATTTGAAATAAGTGTAGACTGTAGCTCGGATCTCTGTGCAAAATGTCCCTGATAGCACACTGCATGGCACACGTCTGATAGCCTGTCTTCATAAGCCCAGTCGGTGCAGAAAAGTATGGTAGGATGTTATACCACCTTTCAGTAAGTGATGGGACAAATCTGATTTTTGGCATGATTGTAGGTTGGACATTTAAGGACAGGGGCATGCAACTTTATATGTGAATTTACTTGTAAGACTTCGAATGGCTACTTGTATTTGGATGGCCAAATGTATAGTGCCTCACTGATCAGCAGTGAATATTCTCTAGGTTGCTAACTTGCTACAATCGCTAATAGGGATGACATTGGTGCAGCTTATTGAGTCCCCAATATTGGCTTTTTCCCTTCTGCAAATTAAATTCTAGAACATTGTTTTAAAGTATGAGAAAAATAAATACCGGTGTTTGAAGCATATCTGGATAAAAATTATTTCCCATTTAGTATAAAATGAGTAAAAGGCACCATTCTGCCCTGACCTGCAGTAGCGTCTTATGTAAACAATCTACACCCAATTAAGCCAATGATTGACGCAGCGTGATGATGTCATTGAAAGCAGGCATCTTTTACAGATTTTCGTAACACTCTGTAAAACAGGATGGGGTATCCCGATCACAAATCCGCTAATTATAGGTCCTCAAACCAATTGTACTTGAGATGTTAATTAAATTTTTCCAGCACCCAGACTAAATCCATTATAAAGTATGTCTCTTAAGTGCTGCTAAATGGAGTTATCACCCTTGGAATTTGTTCTACTGTTTTTGTTGTAGGTAGTCTACTTGATTGCAACCCCCACAACCCCAATATCTCAAATAATAAGTTTTAAATACCAGGTACAATATACTTATATCACCCCATTAAAATTGCTTCTTCTGTCTCAAATATATATTTTTTAAACTACTGTTTTGTACATATTTAAATGGAGTTATCTCCCTTGAAAGTTAGTCCATTGTGTTGTGGGATGTCCTTGGACACCAACCTCCACACATGATGTATTTATATTTTATCGCATGTATATGTTCATATCTCATATGGCAACTGTTATATACACTCGTTCGCTAGTGGGAAATAAAATGGGGTTTAACGTCCTACTTTTATAAACCAACTGGGCTAATGAGGACTGGTTAGCAAGTCAAGTGGTACTGTCGACTAGAATTTCCCTACTGTCAGGTCTGATTGCCACTAGCACAGGGATAATGCCACATTCGATGAGTCAGACACTGGCTCACTTACTAAGCTGTAGGTCCCAGTGTTAGTGAAGAAAGTTCCTCTAGTTTTCCAGCCTTTGGTGTGCATGTAAAGGACCCCTTGGCAATTGGAATTTGAAGAAGAGTAGATGGAAGTGTCGCTGTCTGGGCAAAATTTGATTCATGGCACTCTGCATAGCTTACGTCTTCCTTCAGTAGCCCAGTTGGTGCAGAAAAGTAGGATGTTAAACCCCATTTCAGACGCTGTGTCATGGGTTTGAATGGGTCCCCTGTTTGAATCAGTAATTTGATGAATTTGGGCTGTTAACCGAAACTAAAAATATCCGAATGATCGGTAAAATTTTGAAACAGAAAGATTTTTCGTTAAATATTTTCCTATTTCAGACCCATTGTCATGGATTTGTTGACTCGATATTCAGTTTGGACCAGTACCTGTACTTTAATTTTCTTAGTCTAGTCATTCGGATGGTACAAAAATCTGAGGTCCTGTGTACACATTGGTGTGCACCTAAAAGATCCCTTGACAGTTAGTATTCGATATAAGAGTAGGCCGTAGTGCCGCTGTCCGGAAAAATTTCCCTCATAGCACACTGTATGGCGTCACTGAAGTGTGCACATTCGCGGTGTTGAGTTCAACTTCAAGTAGGGAAAAGTTTGGCGACATGGGGCACCCTATCTGTACATACTGTTTAAACACAAAAGTAATCTGATTATAACACAGATCCTATTTCTTTTTGTTTTTGTAGTTCAAAATTTCATTTTACTTGTCTTTACTACACTAGGATCTGGAAGAGTTGTTATATAACAGGTGTTGTACTTGATGTGAGGAATTAGCCAATGAAACGGCCTCTTACGGTGAGTTCTTGGCTTTTTTATGCATGAAACTGTGGGTAAACCACTAGAAACATCAATGCTGATTGATTAATCAATGTCTGACGTCATAGGGTCAAAAGCTGCTCGTTTGACCCCTGACGTGAACTACCACTATAACTGGTCAGATCTTGATGTAGTGTAGATCATCGAAAGTATAAAAAATGAAACGAAATATAGATCTGTATTTTAAGCAGATTAACACATAAGTTCAATCAATGGATCAACAATTACTCAGTATTTTGATGGAAGCTACATTTCTACAATGATTTTCGTTTTCAAGACAGTTTATTCCCATCTTTACTTTATATTTCTATATTCTTCAGGTTATTGATAAAAGAAAATCTCCATCATGCCACTTGATACATTTATATGTGGTAACTGTCAAGGTGCTTTCTGTGATATCGAAGCCTTTATGAACCATAAAAAGAGCACCTGTTTACAAGAGGAACCAACACAGACGGCGGAAGTGATACAGGTTCGAGTATCAGGGGAAGTAACTAGCCTAGATGAAGCAACAGCCATTCCCTTAGTTTCAGTTGGTAGGGCTTATACATTTTTTTGATAAACATTTAAGGGTACCACGTCATAAGGGTGTGTGGGATCTCTAATTATGTATTTGCTAGTCACACGACACTTAAGATTGTACAGGGGACTGGATGACCGAATGGTTAGCGCGTGTGCACTGTATCATAAGGTCTGTCATTGAATCAAGTGGCGTGGTTTTGATTCCCTGGTTGTATGTGACAAGTAGGGTCGCCTGTCCAACCTCGTGGGTTTTCTCCGGGTCCTCCGGTTTCCTCCCACTGCTAAAGACCCCTATGCGGAAGCGAATTATGGAAATAAAATTGAACCATTTAGTCCCGAAATGACCTAGTTTGTGTCAAGTGGACGTTAAACCCCATTTCTTTCTCTCTCTTATGATTATAAAAATTTATACACAACAGATTTTAAATCTGCATTTTAATCAGATGGTCAAATCATTTTTTTATTCCACGGACTAATGTAGATGTCCAAATCGCGGTCGCCACAATAGTTTCAAGTATTGAAAACAAAAATTAATTTTTAATATGGTTACATATTTGTTTTTAGGTGAAGCTGCCACGAACACATCTTTAACATTTTACAGTGAGGCAGATGTGAATTCAAGTGAGGCTGTGTCAGGGGAGACAACTAAAGAACAAACTTTGGTTATATTAAATGATGATTACGAGAGTATTGACAGCCATTTAACCAGCGACAAAGGAACGTCAACTGTTGATATGGAAACTGAAGAAGCTCCTAAAGGTGATTTTAAGTTATCTATGTCCGTTGTGCTTGTGGAGGGGGGGTGGATGGCTGAATGGTTAGCGTGCGCGCGCTGTATCATAAAGTCTGTCATTGAGTCGACTGGCGTGGTTTCGAATCCCCAGTTGTATGTGACAAGGAGTAGGGTCGCCTGTCCAACCTCGTGGGTTTTCTCCGGGTCCTCCGGTTTCCTCCCACTGCTAAAGATCCCTATGCGCAAGCGAATTATTGAAATAAAATTAAACCATATGTTAGTCCCGAAATGACCTAGTTTGTGTCGAGTGGACGTTAAACCCCATTTCTCTCTCTCGTGCTTGTGGATGCCCTAGAAGAATAGATTATTACTAGATTATTGTCAAATTCATGCATAGTGTTTATGTTCACGAGGGAGCCACGGTGGCTAAGTGGGTAAGATGCTGGCTCGCTAGCCTGGAGGTCGCTTGTTTGATCCCTGCATTGGCCAAGAAAGTTCACCCAGATTTTCCCTAGTCAGTGATGCAGGACTTAGGGCTTGACATGGACAGCTGTCTAGTCATTCGGATGGGGCAAAAAAACATTGTCCTGTGTATACATTAGCGTGCACGTAAAAGATCCCTTTGCAGTTGGAAATCGATATAAGAGTAGGCTGTAGCGCCGCTGTTCAAGCCAAATTTCCCTCATAGCATACTGTATGGCATATGCCTGTGTTTATTAGCCTTGTCGGAGCAGAACAGTAGGACGTTAAATCCCATTTCATTTCATGTTCATGAGACGAAGAAGCCTTTTACAAGCTAAAATTATCAACGGATTGACTTATACACTGGAAAAACCAGAAGCCAATTATAATTATTTCTGATAATTACTTCGTGGGTTGCCACGCTTGATCAGTTTTTAGTGTGAATTCTCCCATTACCTAAAGCAGAATAAATACGTTACACAACCTTAGTGGACTGCTCTGTCAATCTGATTAAAACACAGATCCTATTTCGTTTCGTTTTTATAGTTCAAAATTTCGTTTTACTTGTCTTTACTACACTAGGATGTGGAAGAGTTTTTATATAACCCGCATTCTGGATGATGTAAGGGATTAGCCAATGAAACATTCTTATCCGGCGAGTTTTGGCGAAAGGTGCACGGAACTGTGGGTAACCCACTAGAAACATAAATGCTGATTGGTTAATCAAATGTTTGACAACATAGGGTTAAAAGCCGCTCGTATGACCTCTGACACATCCTATCGCTACAACCGGTCAGATCTTCATGTAGTGGAGACCCTTGATAGTATAAAAAACCGAAACGAAATATAGATCTGTATTTTATTCAAATTGACTGCTCTGTTAACTTAGCTGCTGTGGGCGTATATTTCATTGCCGGGCAATATACTTTTATATTACACATGTAGGCCTATTTCTCTTCAAGACGTCCTTCAATTTTTTTCTTGTTTATTTTTTAGTGAAGAAAAAGGGACGACCAAAGAGTAAGAAGAAAACAGAGGTGGTTGTAAAAAAGGAAACTGGAAGACCGCCATTACCAGAGAGAGGTACATTTAATTTAATTTATCTCCAGTAACTCATTGTTTAATTTGTCTCCAGTAACGGGGATCATGCTAGCCTGGAGGTCGGGTGTTCGATCCCTGCATTGGCCTAGAAAGTTCATCCAGATTTTCTGGCGTGGTTTCCCCTTGTCAGTGATGCAGGACGGAGGGTCTGACAAGGACAGCTGTCTAGTCATTCGGATGATACGAGAAACAGAGGTCCCGTGTACACATTGGCGTGCACGTAAAAGATCCCTTGACAGTTGGAATTCGATATAAGAGTAGGCCGTAGTGCCGCTGTCCGGGCAAAATTTCCCTCATAGCACACTGTATGGCGTATGCCCGTCTTCATTAGCCCAGTTTGGAGCAAAACAGTAGGACGTTAAACCCCATTTCATTTCATTTTTGTCTCCAGTGACTTATCATTTAATTTGTTTCCAGTAACTCATCAATAATGAATCATCATACAAAATCGACTGGCACATAAATTTTGAAAATGGACAATTGTCTGTTCGACAAAATGACGGTGGTGGGAGGTGTTAGTGTGTGACAATGTATGTGACAGGTACCGTATTTCCAGGCTTGAGTAAACAACCAATGAGAGTATAAACCCTGCCCTTATTTTTTATTCTAGGTTCTGATGGTAGATTTACGTGTGTTCGATGTAAGAGGTCGTTTATTAAAGACCGATATTTTAATACACATAAATGTTTATCCGATGATTACGTAGATATAACCAAGAAAGAAGTCTTCTCAATGGGTAACGGTAAGCAATATTTTAATTACTTATGTGACATGAATGGTCATTACACCTACTTGTCATCCCCACTACCCATATATAACATTATAAAATAAATAGTCTTGTTCACCTTGAACCGCCTAGTCCACAACGTACAGAGGGTCTGGAACGGTTGTCACTATTTGAAGAGAAGTTCCTCTGCCCATGCGTAGAATATTTTTCTGGATGATAGAGACTAGAAAATAAAATGCAGGAAGTAACTGTATTAAAAATTTTGAATGAATCTGGAAATGTACTTTAGGCTCAATTATCAAGCCTGATAAATGTTATTGACAATCATAAATAATACTGGATAATCATACATTCCTATCAAAAACTTTACCCACAGAGCAGATCAACATAAAAAATCGAATGAAATTGACAATTTTATTTTTTGGATCCAAATCAATGAGGTCCTGCCATTTTTAAGTAGAGTTTGCTGTCATGTTGGGAGTCACGGTGGCTAAGTGGATATGACGCTGGCTCGCTAGCCAGGAGGTAATGTTTTGGATCCCTGCATTGGCCGAGAAAGTTCATCGTGATTTTCCGACGTGGTTTCCCTTGTCCGGTCTGACATGGACAGCTATCTAGTCATTCGGATGGGTCGAAAAACCAAGGTCCTGTGTATTCATTGGCGAGCACGTAAAAGATCCCTTGGCAGTTGGAATTTGATATAAGTGTAGGCCATAGTGCCGCTGCCTGGGCAAAATTTCCTGCATAGAATACTGTAAGACGTATGCCCGTCTTCATTTGCCCAATAGTAGCATAACAGTAGGACGTTAAACCCTATTTCATTTCATTTCATTTCATTTTCTGCTGTTTTTTTTCTTGTAGATGATGATGATGATGATGTGCATGACGCAGGTGAAATAGACGATGAAGACATTGACGAATATACAGCACCTGTCGTTGTAACAGAAGATCCAGACGAAGATGTCGACATCGATCCAAAAACTCTGACTAAAACGATCGTGAAAAATAACAAAGACAATGCTAAACCTACTAAGCTAGACAAAATACAGATTATATCAGATCCAGATTTAGAAAACTCTGTTAACAAAAAAATCACCGATGCTATCGAAGATATCCCGGTGTTTAAAAACGACGCCGAAAAGCTAAATTTTGAAGCGAGCGTGAACATTGACTTAAGTGGGATGGATGGTATGTTTACGAAACACAGTATTGAACAAGATTTAGTGGAGAGTGTCGGTGGAAACGGGAAGAATATCTCCAGTGAACTGTCGCTGTACATGTGTAATATTTGTTCGAAGGTTTTTAAGACTTTATCTCACATTCGTCTTCACTGTTTAATACACACGGATCTAAAACCGTTCAAATGTCCGCATTGTGAATATGCTTCAAACTCTAAAGGTAAGAATATTAGAGTACTGGATGTCTCAGATTTAACTATAGTTCAGCTCTAAACGTAAGTTCTCATTACATTCGCCCTGTACATTGAGAAACCGGCCTATTGACGCCTTGTCGAAAATTTTTCAGTTCCCCGTAAATCTTTTTACTGCTGAGCCGTCGCATGTCGGTCTCCGTGAATGCCTGTACAATGTAAAGGAACATTTTAGTGAGAAAATAAGATCTTGCTTACCTCACTAGAGTCAGTAGGTGGGACACAAAATGTCGTTAAAAATACGTCCCCTTTTGCTAAACAGTTTGGCGGAAGCCATTGAAATCTAAATATAGGATAGCGCATAAATTTACGTAACTCAGCCATATATGACGAAACGTCATAATGTACACTTTCCATTTACTCTTATCTAAATGTAACTGTTAATTTGCGAAACCTCTCTAATATCGCAGACAATGGGCATTTGATAAATACAGTTTTTGATTATACATGACAACATGTTTACTTCAGATGTAGTGAACGCATCGGCAGTCTTGAATATAATATAAACTTCTGTTTCCGATATATCTGAACGCATATTTTCCCATATTTCTTAGCCCGGTTGGTGTAGAATAGTATAAAATTAGACCTCATATCATTTTATTTTCCCCCAATTACAATCGTTGTTTTATATTTCAGGTAATTTATACACCCATATGAGACGCCATACAGGACAGTTTTATGTTTGTCAAAAATGTCCATTCCACTCCGTGAATAAAAGTCATCTAATAGAACATGAAGCCACTCACAATAATACCAGATATTTATGTAATTTATGTAAAAAAGACTACAATACACAGGTACGGTATAATACAGGTAGCCTACTCTAGATAAACAGGTAGAGTATAATACAGGTAGCCTACTCTAGATACACAGGTGTATAGTACATGTATATTACAGGTAGCCTTCTCTAGATACACAGGTGTATAGTATAATACAGGTAGATTACTCTAGACACACAGGTGTATAGTATAATACAGGTAGTCTACTCTAGACACACAGGTATATAGTATAATACAGGTAGCCTACTCTAGATACACAGCTATAGTATAATACAGGTAGCCTACACTAGACACACAGGTATATAGTATAATACAGGTAGCCTACACTAGATACACAGGTATATAGTATAATACAGGTAGCCTACTCTAGATACACAGGTATATAGTATAATACATGTAGCCTACACTAGATACACAGGTATATAGTATAATACAGGTAGCCTACACTAGATACACAGGTATATAGTATAATACAGGTAGCCTACTCTAGATACACAGCTATAGTATAATACAGGTAGCCTACTCTAGATACACAGCTATAGTATAATACAGGTAGCCTACTCAGCTATAGTATAATACAGGTAGCCTACTCTAGATACACAGGTAGAGTATAATACAGGTAGCCTACACTAGATACACAGCTATAGTATAATAATAGAGTGTGTTTTAAAAGCAAAATTGATGCAAATAAAAAAAAAGATTGCTTTATGTCAATTGTCAAGTGACATTATTTGCCCAGTTAGTCATGCTGAGAGAGTTAAACCCCATTAAACATTAATCCATCTTTAACGCTGGGGGTGGGGGGGGAGGTTAGATGGCTGAATGGTTAGCACGTGCGGGCTGTATCATAAGGTCTGTCATTAAGTCAACTGGTGTGGTTTCGATTCCCCGGTTGTACTTGACAAGGTGTAAGGTCGCCTGTCCAACCTTGTGGGGTTTCCCCCGGTCCTCCGGTTTCCTCCCACTGCTAAAGACCCCTACGTGCAAGTGAATTATTGAAATAGAATTGAACGGAACACACACAAGTAATGGGTAAGTCTCGCGCATGGGTTTACTAAAATTTCCCCCGTAGTCTGCCCGTAGTAGTACATACGACAGGTTGTGAGATAGTCTTTAGACCTCATTTAACATGTCTTCAACGCTGAGAGCAGAAAAGTAGGATGTTAAACTCCTTTTTAATTTTATATTTTTTCCCTTGTGTTTCAGAAATCTTTAGTTAACCATATAAGGAAATATCACTGTGATTCACAGAAAGGCAAAGACTACCTGGCTATCTTTCTCAATAAACGAACTAACCAATCACAAACGGTCATACATCAATGTCACGTTTGTAACAGAAAATTCAAGAAGAAGATCGATCGGGATAGACATTTGTTCGTTCACGATATAAAAGACATTCCCAACATACAACGCTGTGAACTGTGCGATTACACGGCCAGTCGTAAAGTTTATTTAGAGAAACATTATCTCAAACATCGCGTGATTTACTGTTGTTTTTCGTGCCCACAACGTTTTCTCAGTTCTGTACGATTAATCGATCATCTGAACTCAAATCATTTAAATAACGATGCGTCAACCACGTGGGAGACATTGTTTGAGCAATGTATCGAAAACAGTATTTATCTACCCGAACCAGACGACCAAATAAGACCAGGAAGTGGATCAGATATTTTAAACCTGCCACCAGAACTTTCAAAAACATCTTTAGAACTTTCCGACGCCAATAAGAAATTGGCCAGTTTGGAAGTGAATGCAACATCCACTACGGTGACACCAGCACTGCATGCGGATGCAGCTCTTCCTCTAGTTACAGATTTATCTTCCACAGATGCTCCGTCGACCATTTTGGATCCAGCATCCAATCAGAATGAAGAGTTAATGGAGACAGACTCTCCGCTAGTTATTAATAGTATTACAGACAATTTACTGCAATCGTCGACGCAAAATGACGAATCTGCAGAACCAGTCGTACATAGTGACGTATCTGTGGAACCAGTTGAACCTTGTAAGGTATCCACAGAACCAGTTGTATCTAGTCAGGTAGATTCGTTACCTATCAACAAAGGTGTGGACGATACTGAAACCAGTTTGTTAAAGGTAATAATTCAATCAAGTGTGGAGGGTTGGTTCGCCGAATAGTTAGCACGTGCACGCTGTATCATAAGGTCTGTCATTGAGTCAACTGGCATGGTTTCGATTCTTTGCTTGTACGTGACAAGGAGTAGGTTTGCCTGTCCTTCCTTGTGGGTTTTCTGTGGGTCCTCCGGTTTCCTCCCATTGCTAAAGACCCCTACGCACAAGTGAATTATTGAAATAAAATTGAACCGTGTGTTAGTCCCTAAATGACCTATTTTGATCATTTAACCCCATTTCTCTCTCTGTCTCTAACCCTAGAGCTCATTAAATCAACGGGGCCCAAAATAAAAAAAAATATTTTCTATACAAAGAAATACTCTGTTACACAAAATGTACAGAATGTCGTGTTCTTTCCAATGATATAAAATTCAAATGTATAAAGCAGTGATTATATTACTATAAATAATATTGAAAAGTCAGTCCCACTGAAATTATGACTTTTCTCAGTCATAATGGTAAAATAACGTAAGAAAGAATTTTTCAAATTGGAGTTGAATTGTATAATGGCTTCTAAACATTTTTTTTTATAAATTTGATTGTTTTTTGCCTTTCAAGGAAGCTAGTCAGATGGCGGTTGAAGTAGCAGGTCCAGACAACGAAGATAGTAAGATTGAAAATAATGATAATACAACAATAACCATCGAAGGTAGCGATATAGGGGAGACAATTCAAAACAACTTAAATGTTGAGGGAGATGAATTACCAATGGAAGAGGATATTAGCGAAAGTTTGAATGTTATATCAGAAGTTGAAGCAGAAGGCTCCGAGAATGAGTCAGCAGCTAAAATTGACATGATTATTGCCAAACTAGGATATCGTGAAATGTCGATGGATATTTTCCACAAGATGCGTGAGACGTTTGGAAGTGAAGAGTGTGAATATTGTGGACGTCTGTTTTATAGTAAGGCCGATTTTGAAGCTCATCAAAGAATCCATACAGGTAAGGTCGTGAAAAAAATGGTCTGCACATTTTAGCACATATGATGTCATATGTGGATTGTGGGTTAGGGTTAGGGTAAGAGTTAGGACCTGCAGATTTCGTTAACGTCTCGAGATGTAAACAGGGCTAGCACTAACCCATGGCTAACCCTTACCTAAACCTAACCCACAATCCACATAAGATTATTAAATATTTCAGGTGAACCTCCATTCCATTGTGAACACTGTCAGTATTAACATATTAAATATTTCAGGTGAACAACCATTCCATTGTGAACACTGTCAGTTTAAAGCAATGAATAGTAACGTCCATTCCATTGTGAACACGGTCAATTTAAAGTGAACATATTAAATATTTCAGGTGAACGACCATTCCATTGTGAACACTGTCAATTTAAAGCAATGAATAGTAACGTATTAAAGAAACACGTAGAGAAAGAACATCCAACGGATAATACAACGTATAAATGTACAGACTGTGATTTTACTACCACTACTAGAAATATGCTGTGGAGTCATAGAATAAAACACCTCGCTGTCGTAGGACTACAATGTCCAAAATGTCCAGATAAATTTGAAAGGTATCTTTTTTTTATTGTCCCCTGTCCTTCGAAAATCAGGCCTCAAACTTGTGGTCGACGTTTTCTCCCACTGCTAAAGACCCCTACATACATGCGTTCTCCACGGATTTTCTCTTTGCGTACAAGCGTATTATTGAAGTCAAATTGTACCATATATTAGTCTCAAAATTACCTGATTTCTGCGTTAAACTGCACTTCTCTCTCTCTCTAAACAAGTTCGAGAGTATTATTTAATCCAGGGAACCCAGCATTACCTACAAGGAGCCACAGTGGCTAAGTGAGTAATACGCTGGTTCGCTAGCCTGGAAGTCGCGGGTTCGATCCCGGTGTTGACGGAGAAAGTTCTTCAGGATTTTCCAACGTGGTTCCCCCTTGTCAGTGGTGCAGGATGGAGGGTATAACAAGGACAGCTGTCTAGTCGTTCATGGAGTGCATGTTGGAATTCGATATAACAGTAGGCCGTAGTATGGCTGTCCAGGCAATGTTTCCCTGATAGCAAACTGTATGGCATATGCCCGTCTTCATTAGCCCAGCCGGAGAAGAAAAGTAGTTTCGATTCCCCAGTTGTACGGGGCATGGAGTAGGGTCTCCTTCAAACCTCGCCGGTTTTCTCTGGGTTCTCCTGTTTCCTCCCACTACTAAAGACCCCTACACGCAAGCAGGGCTTTCGGTAATTTTTCACAGATGATTTATTTGATATTTTATTCGCGTTGAAAGTGTTGAGAAATGTGGATAAATCTTTGTGTCAATATCCAAAATGACAGGCATATTAATGATTCGCAGTTACTGCGAATCAAAAACGTTAGATTTTAATTTTTGATTAGCAACGGACAAAATATGTATCGCAAATTGCGCTGCGATACTGGTTGTCGGCAGCCCTGCACGCAAGTGAATTATTGAAATAAAATTGAACCTCTCTCTCTCTCTTCTACAAAAGAATAAAACTGACTGGCCTAGTAACTGGCAACCTATGTTTCTATTTCCAGTATGAAACAACTACGCACACATTTATTAGAGAAACATCCATATATAGAAATGGAAGAACTGGAAAAACTGACCGGATATAAACACAGACTACATGGTAAAATGGGTAAATATTTTTTTTACTAATTGATCAAAACGTCATTCCATTCAAACAACTAAACATAGTTCCTTCTCTTCTGACGAGTGGAAGCCAATCCAAAAAATCTTGAACATCTTTCTTAACCATAACCAGGATCAAACCCAGTACCTTCCCGATAGTTAGCTGTACTTAACAAGCCATCGTGGTTCGAGGGGCATAAGGCAGTATTTTAGGGTCAGATCTATTTACCAAAGCCACCTGCAGATGTAAACAGGGTTAGGGCATGTGATTGTTGCTGAGGATTGTGGATTAGGGTTACGGTAACGGCTTAGGACTAGGTCTTGGGTTAGGGTTAGCGCTAGCCCAGTTTACATCCCATGACCTTGTCATTGAGTCAACTGGTATGGTTTCAATTTCCCGGTTGTACGTGACAAGGAGTACGGTCATCTGTCCAAAGTCGTGGGTTTTCTCCGGATCTGCCGGTTTCCTCCCACTGCTAAAGACACCTACGCGCAAGCGAATTATTGAAATAAAATGATTAACTTGTGTGCATTGGATCATTAGATCTGTCATTGAGTCAAGTGAAGTGGTTTCGATTCCCCACTTGTACCTCACAAGGAGTAGGGTCGCCTGTCAAACCTCATGGGTTTTCTCAGAGTCCTCTGATTTTCTCCCTGTGAACATTCTGTTTTCTGTTTCAGGTCGTAGGTCTTACAAGTGTCCATATTGTGAAAGAATATTTATGAAAGCGAACGCAGAGTTACAAAAACATATCTGGATGCACGAAGGCATAAAGCCGTTTAAATGTGCAGTATGTACATATTCTTGTCGCAGTAAAAATAACCTCCAAGCCCATATGTTACGTCACTCCGCGGAGAAACCATTCCACTGTGAAGAGTGTGGTAAACTTTATAAATCCCGGACAGCTCTACGATGGCATGTTAGATCACATAAAGATGGCAAAATGTTCAAATGTTCCAAGTAAGTAAAGATTTGGATACTATATTTTATTTTAGACCTGTTCAGGTCTGAGGAGGTTTGGATGGCTGAATGGTTAGCACATGCGTGCTGTATCATAAGGTCTGCCATTGAGTCAACTGGCGTGGTTTCGATTCTTGCTTGCTTCCTCCCACTGCTAAAGACCCCTACGCACAAGTGAACTATTGAAATAAAATTGAACCATAAGTTAGTCCCGAAATGACCTTGTTTGTGTCGAGTGAACATTAAACCGAGTTATTGACCTTGCGCACACGGCGGAATCTTGTGACAGCTCTATTGACAAAAAATGGCATGCTATGTGCTTGACATGTATATGCAATGTTCGAAATAGTAAAATGAGGGTTTTCTATTGTAACAATTACTGATAATTACTTATAAAGTTATCACCCTTGCTTATGTCAAATCACAAATAATATAAAGATAATGCTCTTTATTTACCAAAGCATTAGGTTTGCGATGACCTAGTGGTCTAGGGTGTTGCACTTAGAGCTCTAGCTGTTTGGTCACCATAGCAACAACCATTGTGGACTGCTCCTCAATTGAACATTGATGTTTATTTTTTTTTTTAGGTGTTCGTATGAAGCTGCACAACGTAGCCATTTAAAACGTCATATGGAAACTCACGACGTATTAAAACGTTATGCGTGTCAAGAGTGTGATTATACGGCCAATACTATACAGTTTATGAAGATACACTATGCTAGAAATCACAAGGGTGTCAAGTTTGAAACCAGTGTTTCTACCGAAGCTGAACGCAATGAACAGAACCTAGAAACCAAAGTAAGTTTTTTCTGAAAGGTGTCAGTTTTAAAAAAAATAAATGAAATGAAATGGTGTTAATGTCCTACTTTTGAAGATGGGCGTATATGCCATACATGAACCTGAAGACCAGTATGTGCAATGAAATGGGTTTAGCATTCTACTTCTCTGTACATCCCGGGCGTCTGAGTGATTGAGTGAGTGAGAGATAGAAGGGAGAGAGAAGGTTGAAGTCCACTTGACACAAACCAAATCATTTCGGGACTAACATATGGTTCAATTTTATTTCAATAATTCGCTTGTGCATAGGGGTCTTTGTGGAAGGAAATGTCTAAGATTTAGCTCTTACTTAATGCGTCTTTAAATAATATTTGATAAATTAAGATTATCTGATTGTATATTTTTCAGGTGTTTAAATGTGTTAGCTGTGATTATTTATTTGGTAATATGTCCGAGTTAAAACGTCATCTTCGTGTTCGACATCAAGTTCAAGTTCAGGATATCGCTAAATTAGAATCCTCCATGGAAACCTGTGAAGTCCAGGTCTGTTGTGTTTTAAGTTTGATTGACGGGCAGTCTGATTAAAAGACAGATCGTTTTGTTTTATTTGTCTGTCTCACACTAGGATCTGAAAGAGTTTATATAATCTGTTGCGGTGATTTCTTGGCGTGCTCTACACGAACTGTTGGTAAACTACTAGAGACATCAACGATGATTGATTAATCAATGTCTGACGTCATACGGTCAAAAGCCGTTCATACAACCTCTGACGCGACCTTTTACTACAACCAGTCAAATCTTCATATAGTGTAGGCCATCAAAAGTATAAAAAAAACGAAACGAAATATACATGTAGATCTGTATTTTCATCAGATTGGAATGGCAGGTAGCCATCCAAGATTTCTGTCATGAAGTGACTAGTTTCGTTCAATTTGAACTCATCAGGCGAGTTTTTGCAGATGTTAACAAGGAAAAAGTGTCAAGTAGTAGTTCGATTCTGTCCTGGTTTAAACATATTTTATTACCACAAAGTAAATGGATTGGACTAAAGTTATATAAACTTACAAAAACATCTTGGACATATACAGAACAGAACTCTTGACAAACAAAGTAGGCAAAAATGTGCCTGGTTGCTCATAACCTACAGAGTAAATATAGTCCCTTTACACAAGATTGAAAGAACATTGATATTTGTAAACATTTCTTAGGCCTAAGTCTAACCGAAAGATATCTATTATTATTATTATTATGTTGTGTGTTTTAGGTTGTACAATACGTAGATGAAGGACAGGAACAATCAGAAATAACAACAACCGAACTAACGCAGATAGAAGAAATACAGGAACAATCTGTTGGTAGGGTATATAATCTATTGGTAGGGTATACAATATACAATCTGTTGGTAGGGTATACAATATACAATCTGTTGGTAGGGTATAAAATATACAATATGTTGGTAGGGTTCAAGGTTCATTCAATATCAAGGTTTCCGTGGAGTTAGCAATGTTTGATATGAGTGTGTTGGTGTCACAACTTCTGATTGGACGCTATCGTTCACATGTCTGCATTAAAGGGAGATAAAGGAACTATAAGTTCGGAAATTGCAGAACAGTCTAGCAACGGCCGTTGCTTCTGATCCCAATGCTTACCGAGAAAATTCCTCCGGATTTTCAAGTCTTGTTTTCTCTTTGTTAAAAGCTCAGGATGTTGGGGCTTTGTATACATTGGACAGCACATTAAAGATCCCCTGGCGGTTTTAAATCCACAGATTTATTTCATTTATAATGTCATTCCAACAGACTTAAACAAAAAAACAAAACATATGTGTAAGCGATTTTACTCTTGATCTAGGTCAGTGGTTCTGAACTATTTTTGCCAACGGCATACCTTGGAACATATGAAAAAATAGCTAAATATTTTTGAAAAATATTTAAATTCTGCAAAATAAATACATCATAAGTCAGACGCGGCATACAACCGTAGACAGAGATTAGTCATAGTCACATAGAATAACTAAAACTAAATAAAGAAAAACACAGCTATGAACTTATCAGAAGACAGTTAATACTCAGTTCGAATCAGGTGGTTTTTCACATATTCATAGTGAGCCGTTCAAAATTTGGCGGCACACTTATGAAGATCTCGCGGCACACTGGTTGAGAATGACTGATCTAGGTAGACATTAAATTTTCCACTACAACTTTCTGATCTGATCCTGAGGATTGAATTTTAAATTCTTTTTTCTTGTATTTTTCCAATTAAAATACTCCTTTAGAAGAATTTTTCAAGTAAATGATGTTTTATTGTTTAACCCTTTCTGTGCTATTTTAAATCAATGATGTGTGATTTATTATTTTGTTTATTTGACAGAAACAGAAGGTCAGTTGGATGAGAAAACTGTTTCAGCTGTCAGTTTATTACAACAGATTATAGACATGTCCAATCAGGTACTAGCTTTCATATGTATCATAAATAATATGTCCAATCAGGTATCAGCTTTCATATATTGTAAATAATATATCCAATCAGGTATTAGTTTTCATATATACCGTAAATAATATGTCCAATCAGGTAATAACTTTCATAGTATCTTAAAAAATATATGTCCAATCAGGTACTAGCTTTCATATGTATCATAAATAATATGTCCAATCAGGTACTAGCTTTCATATGTATTATAAATAATATGTCCAATCAGGTATTAGCTTTTATATAGTATAGATGGAATGCAAGGATAAAGTGTCTTATTAAACCATACTACACCCAGTTGATGCAACGGCATTTGGGCCACAGAGACATTTGGCCACATGGTTTAAATGTAACCAGTTACATGTAGCTCCTATTAGCACCCAATCTGATTAAAACACAGATCGTATTTCGTTCATTCGTTAATCAAATGTTTGACGTCATAGAGTCAAAAGCCGCTCGTACGACCCCTGACGCGACCTTCCCATACAACAGGTCAGATCTTCATGTAGTGTAGTCCATCGAAAGTATAAAAAACAAAAAGAAACGGAATATAGATCTGTATTTTAATCGGATTGATAAGCACCTGGTTAACATGGTTGAAGTGACAACTTGTTTCACAGCATTAATGCGTTATAGTTCTACGTGTGATGTCATGTCATATGTGTGCCCTCGATAACACGTGCATTGTTTACAGCGTAGTAACACAAACTGATCCAATCCAATGTAATCCGTTTCATGTAAAGGCCAAGCGATTATTTACTACTGATCCAATTGGTTTGACATTTCGTTTTGTTTTTTAAAGTTTACAATTTCATTTGACTTGTCTTTACTACACTAGGATCTGGAAGAGTTGTTATATAACCCTCGTTCTCAATGATGTGAGGGATTAGCCAATGAAACGGTCTGTTACGGCAACTTCTTGCCGTGCGATCTGTGGGTACCCCACTAGAACATCAACGCTGATTGGTTAATCAAATGTCCAGACCATAATCAACTGTCGATGCCATTGCTAGCCTGCAATATTTACTGGATTTGAATACATTTTGTGATGGATGATTAAACGTAAAAATGGATAATCAAGACTTTGTTTATTATCTTACCGACTTTAGTAATGATGATTGAGGCTAGCATAAAATTCAAAAGCTAATATCTTGGTTCAGAGTGGAGCAATTTGACTGAATTTTCAGGGTATTCTATTTACATTATCCGTTATTTAACTATTATAGTGAGAACTGTCAACTCGTTATCTAATCTTCCATAATTCCTCTTTAATTAAGGTTTATTTTTTTCAGGGAGCCTTCAACCAGCAACATTTAACAGTTTTAAATGAAGAGGGTCAGATGGTTGCCGTTAATCCAGATACAATAATTGTACAGGAAGACGGACAGGAAGTACTCGTATCCGATGGTAACACGGAACTGGATGGTAGTCAATACGTTATACAATATGTCTCACAGCAAGACGCACAATTAGATGGAATACCAGAAGAAATTCAAACCACCGAAGAAATGCAAACTCAATAATTAAAACTTAACACATCCGTATGTCCGAGATTCAAGTTATTTAAGTATTGTCATTGAGTCACATGACGTGCCTTCGATTCCCTGGTTGTACGTGACAAGGAGTAGGGTCGCCTATCCAATCTCGTAGGTTTTCTCCGGGTCCTCCAGTTCCCTCCGACCGCAAAAGACCCCGACGCGCAAGCGAATTATTGAAATAAAATTGAACCATATGTTAGTCCCGAAATGACCTAGTTTGTGGCGAGTGGATGTTAAACCCCATCTCTCTCTCTCTCTAAGTATATCTTGATGTACACTTAATAGAATCTTGACATTTTGGATTCAACATTGGCTGAACACCGCTATCAAGGCCAAAATTTCTCTGGTCTAGCATTGCTCATGGGAAATGAAATGGGGTTTAACGTCCTACTGTTCTGCTCCTATACTGGGCTAATGAAGACGGGCATATGCCATACAGTGTGCTATGAGGGAAATTTTGCTCGGACAAGGGATCTTTTACGTGCATTCCAATGTATACACGGGACCTCAGTTTTTCGTCTCATCCAAAATTACTCATGTGATAGATATTAATATGTTAGTCTCAAAATGATCAAACCTCATGTGTTGACAAGACCTCCACACCACTTAGGCTTTAGAAGTAATTTATGATCAATCAACTTCCATGCCAGTAAAAAAGACAAAATTTATACTATTTGTCATCTTAGTTCAGGTCAGGTCAGGTCAGGTCAGGTCAGGTCAGGTCAGGTCAACTGAACACAAACTTCTTAAAGATATTGTTACTTGTTTATAAAAATGAAATGGCGTTTAACGTTCTACTTCTCGGCACAAACCACGCTAATGAAGAGGGGCACACGTCATACATTGCGTTCTATGAGGGAAATTTGACGTACAGCAAATAAATTCCATCTATCAAGAGTTCTTTTCAGTACAACCCAACGACTAAAGTCTGTTCCTTGCGAGGGACTCCATCCTACACCACTGACAAGAGAAACCATACTGAAACATCCAGGGGAACTTTCTTGACCAACAACTTTAAACAAACACAGACATCCTAGTCAATGAGCAAGCACCTCAATCACTAAGCCACCTTGGCTCCCACATGTGCCAGTAAAGGGTACTGCAACTGTTCTTTGTTAACTGCAATATTTATTATTATTTTTGTTATTATGGAATGTAAATGTGTGTAATATTAATTAAAGTAAATTTAATTTGTCACCGAGACCTTTTAATTATTTGATTTAATTTGGGGGAGGGGGTGGAGGGGTCAACATGGTTTACAATATAAATGATATAAAATAGGATTTAAGGTCCTACTGTTCTGCTCCCTACTGGGCTAATGAAGACAAGCATACGCCATACAGTGTGCTATGAGGGAAATTTTGCCCGGACAGCGGCACTACGACCTACTCTTATATTGAATTCCAACTGTCAAGGGATCTTTTACGTGCACGCCAATGTGTACACGGGATCTCAGTTTTTCGTCCCATCCAAACAACTAGACAGCTGTCCTTGTCAGGTTCTCCGTCCTGCATCGATGACAAGGAAGTACTACGCTGGAAAATCTGGATGAACTCTCTCGGCCAATGCAGGGATCGAACATCCGACCTCCAGGCTAGCGAGCCAGCGTCTTACCCACTTAGCCACCGTGATCCCCGGTTTATAAATATAGTTACAGTCAAGCCCCTAGGACACTTGCTATAATGCAGGTTGGCTCTAACAACAGTGATATAATGAAGCCATTTTTAGGTGAATACACCTTAGCTATATATTTTGGCTTTAAATGTCATATGTAAACAGACTTTTATTTTCGAGACCCTGTAAAAATTGGCACTGCCCCTTTAAATATACTTTCTACTAACTTGGCTGTGCAGAATTCCCCTTCCGTTCACTTGGTTGTGCGGAATTTCCTTCCCTTCACTTGGTTGTGGGGAATTCCATTCAGGTCACTTGAAATCCAGAAATGAAGTTGTGTGTTCGATTCCAAACAGAATACCCCCATCCCCCATCCAGTTCTCCCCCTTTCTTATATATACTTAAAAAGCAAAATTTGAAATTGAGTTTATTATGTTGTAAAAATAAAATACATTATATAGCATAATAATAATAACCTGTAATGTTCAAAATACACAAGATACACATTATAATATGTCCTGATCGTACATCTATTTACATATTATAATATGTCCTGATCGTAGGTACGATACATACTATAATATGCCCTGAAAGTACTTACAATACACATTATAATATGTCCTGATCGTACATACAAGACACATTATAATATGTCCTGATCGTACATATGATACACATTATAATATGTCCTGATCGTACATATGATACACATTATAATATGTCCTGATCGTACATACGATATATACTATAACATGCCTTGGTCGTACATACAAGACACATTATAATATGTCCTGATCGTACATACAAGACACATTATAATATGTCCTGATCGTACATACGATACACATTATAATATGCCCATACATATTATAATATGCCCTGATCATTGATCAACACATATTTCCATAAGATACACATTATAATATGCTCTGATCAACACATATTTCCATATGATAATACATTATAATATGCCCATATCAACACATATTTCCATAATATAACACATTATAATATGTCATTATAAATACGTCTGTATATAATATTTTAAAACTACATAGCTACATGTTGATCACACTGTCAGGTTAAAAACTCATATATACAATTTAACAGTCAACTACAAATATCATTTAAACTATTATTAGTTTGCCTAAAACTATTAAATTAGACCATTATTCTACATGTAGTACATCATTTAGGTCATCAACATTTCGGCCAATGACATTTTAAAGCCTGTGTTACATATTATACACAGCTTTTCCCCGCGCGTTTTCACTGGTTACATCTGCATTAGACCAACTTTTTCGCCGGCGAAAACGCGCACATGGAAACGGGCCTAACACCATTTAGTACCTATTTCACCTTTGTGACCGAGGTATCTGTTGAACATCAGCAGACGATCATCTGTTCCACTGTCAAAACTCTAATTATATATATAACTTTCAAAGTCAATCATGATTCAAGCTTTGCATATTGTTAAAACATAATATTATATAGCCATTTACTGTACCCAAAAACCTCCCACATTTTCTAATATAAACATTTGAAATTAGTTGGCAAAAATTAGAGTTTACATTTTAAGGACATTATCGAGAGATAAACAAGTGAAATGAAATGAAACTTTGACTAACATTTGGTTCAATTTTATTTCAATAATTTGCTTGGGTGTAGAGTCTTTAGCAGTGGAAGGAAACAGGCGACCCTGTTATAGTCAGAGCTCTCAAATCTGAATATTGTCATTCAGTTAAAATTTAACTTATTTTATTTATATAAGTCATCTCTTTCAAGGAATATGACGAAATGAAATGAAATGGGGTTTAACGTCCTACTCTTCTGCTCCTATACTGGGCTAATGAAGACGGGCATACGCCATACAGTGTGCTATAAGGGAATTGCCTACTCTTATATCAAATTCCAACTGCCAGGGGATCTTTTACGTGCATTCCAATATATACACGGGACCTCGGTTTTTTGTCTCATCCGAATGACTAGACAGCTGTCCTTGTCAGGCCCTCCGTCCTGCATCACTGACAAGGGGGAACCACGCCGGAAAATCTGGATGAAGGAATATGACAATATTAAACATGCATTATGTAAGATTTAGATAACGAGCTGGCCATTCTCGCTATAATAGTTAGAATTTATTGAAATTTTCATTCAAATTGCTCCATTGCAAGCGAAGGTATGACCTGTTGAAGGTTTGACACCATGTGTGCATTAATTGCAACCACATTACTGGTTGTTCGAAGCTTAGCCTCGCTTCATCTCGCTTCACCATTTTTAATTAAATCAAAATATGGCTGTTCAAACTGTTCCAATCTACTTAATATCGGAGATATGCCATCGAGAGTTGATTATGGTCTGGATAAGTAATTAATGTCTAATTAATAATTTATATAACATTTCAGGCCTAAAGAAAGACCTGCAAATAGGCAGATTCACCTCTTGCATAATGTATGTTTAAGCATAATCCCCATTGTAAATAAAATTTTAACTTTAGTTTGGCAGAAAAAAATACAATTTAAAAAAAATTAAATTAGGGTTCAGTTCTTTGAAATAAATGATTTTAGGTTATGGTTAACTTTATTACCTGTCCATCATTCCCGAAACAAGAGACCTGGGGCCTGTTTCTGGAAATTTTAACGGAGATAAAATCCAAATTTTAGTAATTTGATTGGATAATATTAGATTGATTTTGGTGCTTAGCCAATCAAAATTGAAGTACCTACTAAAATTTGGATGCAGCTAATTTACAGCGGTTGGGAGAGTTGGCGAGCAGAGTTATACTTCACAAAGGTTAACATTAGGGGAACTCTAACCCTTTACCGAAAGTTCTGTATAGAAATGACCCACTCCCCACCCCTCCCCCAATGATGCTGAACACAGACAACACCAGATCATTGACATCTTCAATTTAAAATAATAGTTTGAAGGGTAAATGTTGCACCGGTTTATAAAAACAATCTTGGCCTCACCATGGTTTTACTGGATTTCTTTACCTGTGATGTTGCCATGGTTATACCTGTTGTTACAAAATGACATGTTATGCCCCCTGCCATCTTGACATGTGAAAGTAATTTGAATATCAAATCCACCTGCCGACCCCTATAGATCTTGGTAGCATTATGTAACTTATGTAACTTTAACTTGTTGATGGCATGTCTTATCTTACTTCTTTGTCTGATAAACTATACTGAACTTTAACTGATATGAAACATGATACATTATAGCAGATGCCTAATGAGATTCCTTTGTGTGTGGAAAGGTTTATAAACCCAGATTAAGAAACAAATAGGCAGAGAGGTCCAAGCAGGACACTGGAGCTATGTAATGTAAGTTAGTTTGGAGTTGGCACACGTGCCTAGCCAAGCCAGGACATGGCTCCCTCAATACAAGCTAGTTATGGAGTCTTTAAGTTTTGTAGTACGAGTATTGTAAATATGTTTATAGCAGAATAAAAAGTATTGTATGAACCTGAAACTAATCTTGTCATCAGAACCTGATTAAAGAACCAATACTGTCACATATTAATTGGTGCCGTGACCAGGATACGTTTGAAGTCCACCACTAGAAGACCACAGGCCACAGATATTAGTCTACACGGGTAAGTCTTTTTCTAATCCTACCATGGCCGGTTAATAATGACATTGTGCTATAATGTATTATAATTTAACTGGGAAATCAGCAGTTTATCATCACGCTTTATTAAATATCATGGTGTAGTTACTTAATTTAATATAACGTTCAAGCTAGTAGTGGAACAGTCCTTAACTATTTGTAGGAAAATGACTAAAACAAAATTGTATATATATTGTTTGTTTTACAATGGGTCATGTTGTTTTTAAAAGATTATAAATTATAATTGTTTGTTTTGAACACATATTTTGGCATTTAAAATTAGTATTAATAGGTTAATATCGAAAAGTAAAATGTTTTGTGATTGTTTAACTAGAATTGGGTTAACAGTATCGTAATTTGAAATTTAACCCAATAACATTCACACAGTATTACCGCGTTTATCTCTAAGGTTTTTTATTTGTTTTGTCTATACGTGTATATTACCCCAAGTGTTAATGGGATGGCCCGATATTTACGGGAAAGATTTTATTCGTGTTTAACGTAGTACCCCAAATGTTAATGGGATGACCCGATATGTACGGGAGGGATTTTTTATTATTTTTATTTTGTGATACCCCAATAATATAGATTGAGAGGTCCCGATATGTTACGGGAAAAGGTTTATGTGAAACCCCAGTCAGGTGGGATTGGTTTAACCCCAGGAGAGGGTCGTGCTCAGAATTAGGAGCGAACGTATTGTCTTGTTTTGTGTTGTGTTTCAAAAATTATAGAGATAAACCGTTATTAATGTTGATAAGTTCTTTCAAAATATCTTATTGAAGATTGGTAAAATGTGTTCAGAAAAAAACAAAACAATATGACATCCTAATTTCAATTCTATCCATGTAAATAATAATGTAAATATCGTTAGATAGCTAAATAAAGTCTGTTCCACTTGCTAATTTGATTAACTATTAATTAAGTTCACTCCATGATATGATAAACAGATGATAAAACTTTCGCATGGGTGGCAGTTATAATACTCTTCATAGCACATGTCGCACCGTTCCGGCCAGGCGGTATGGAAAAGATAAGACTCCCGGAAAACACTGACCCCTTGATATTACGGAAAACTTATACAGTTGACCACAACGACGATGTACAGAAGAAGAACATGGATATAATTGCTCCATTACGCGTGTGACTATTATAATAATTTATATTATATATTCGCGTGTGTTACCATGAAAATAATTTATATAGATGTGATTTCGGTTGTTCGCGTGTGTACAAATTAAAATAGTGTGTGTGATATATGCGATTTCAAGAACTCGTGTGTGTGAACAGTAAAATTATCTGCGACATAATTATGTGATTTCAATGTCTCGCGTGTATGAACATTCTAGTATATTTTCAACCAGTGTTTTATTCTTTGACATTTACATTTTTATTTTTGTTTATTTAACTTTTAATCAGTATATTGTAATTTTTCGTATTTTTGTTTATATTTTAATTAGGGTAGTTATTCTCGACTCCATTTATATTTAATTTTGTAACTGTCTTAAAATAAGTTATTTCATATAATTCATAACTTTATTGAAAAAAAAGGGAAGGTATGTTACAAAATGACATGTTATGCCCCCTGCCATCTTGACATGTGAAAGTAATTTGAATATCAAATCCACCTGCCGACCCCTATAGATCTTGGTAGCATTATGTAACTTATGTAACTTTAACTTGTTGATGGCATGTCTTATCTTACTTCTTTGTCTGATAAACTATACTGAACTTTAACTGATATGAAACATGATACATTATAGCAGATGCCTAATGAGATTCCTTTGTGTGTGGAAAGGTTTATAAACCCAGATTAAGAAACAAATAGGCAGAGAGGTCCAAGCAGGACACTGGAGCTATGTAATGTAAGTTAGTTTGGAGTTGGCACACGTGCCTAGCCAAGCCAGGACATGGCTCCCTCAATACAAGCTAGTTATGGAGTCTTTAAGTTTTGTAGTACGAGTATTGTAAATATGTTTATAGCAGAATAAAAAGTATTGTATGAACCTGAAACTAATCTTGTCATCAGAACCTGATTAAAGAACCAATACTGTCACACTGTCTTACTCCATTATAATCAACAGAACTGATAACCTCAATGGGCTAGTCCATTATAATCAACAGAACTGACGACTTTATTGGGTTAGTCCATTATAATCGACAGAACTGACAACTTTAATGGGTTATTCCATTGTAGCTAACAGAAGTGACAACTTTAATGGGTTATTCCATTGTAGCTAACAGAAGTGACAACTTTAATGGTTTAGTCCATTGTAGTCAACAGAACTGACAACTTTAATGGGCTAGTCCATTACAATCGACAGAACTGATAATCCTAATGGGTTAGTCCATTATAGTCAACAGAACTGACAACTTTAATGGGCTAGTCCATTGTAGTCAACAATGACAAACCAAATTTGGAAATGTTTCAAAGCATTGCACTAAGGACAGGTAAAAATCCTCAAGTCTGTTACCATGGTGAGACCAAGGTGTAGGTCAGTGACAATTATTACAATCAACGTGACATCTATGACCGTTAACATTACATCGGCATCCTGCAGATGTGTCTCCCTCACCCTGAAATAAAGTCAAATCATTTTTTTAGAAATGGGACTACTGTATTATTTTCACAAGAGAAAATAAATGAAAAGGAATTTAGAGAGCGAAAAATGGGGTTTAACATCCACTCGACACAAACTCGGCTAACACATGGTTCAATTTTATTTCAATAATTCGCTTGCATATAGGGGTCTTTAGCAGTGGGAGGAAACTGGAGGACCCGGGGAAAACCCACAAGGTTGAACAGGCGACCCTACTCCTTGTCACACAGAACCGGGGACTCGAAACCATGTCAGTTGACACAATGACAGACCTTATGATACAGTGTGCACATGCTAACCATTCGGCCATCCAATCCCCCGAAAAGGGGTTCAAATTGTATACAATACTAGGACTGATGCTTAAATGCAGAATAAAATTCCTCAAAGTGTGTGTGAACAAAAACCTTGTATGGATAAAATCAGAATTACACTCACTAGTGGACCCCATCTTCGACCTTTAGTCACCCAACATATTTCTGTTTTACAACATGAACACTTTACCCAATCACAGCCTTCCTTCTTCATGATGATGATACTACATTGTGGACAGTGCATGGCTTCACCAGCATCAACCATATTCTACAAAAAATATAAATAATAGGAGAGAGAGAATTGGTGTTAAATGTCCACTCGACACAGACAATGTCGTTTCGGGACTAACATATGGTTCAATTTTATTTCAATCATTCGATTGCACGTAAGGGTTTTTTAGCAGTGGGAGGAAACAGGAGGACCTAAAGAAAACCCACGAGGTTGGACAGGCGACCTACTCCTCGTCACGTACAACCAGGGAAATCAAAATCACGCCAGTTGACTCAATGACAGATCTTATGATACAGCCCTTATGTGCTAACCATTCGGCCATCCAACCCCTATAGATTTTCATGATAAACTGAATCTAAGATTCTTTGATATTTGTGAATGGGTATAACAATTCCTTGTCATTAAGATTGTTTCAATGACATTTAGTACTGAATTGGAAACATGGTTGCTCTCTGTCTGGCCCCACTGACAAGCCGATACACTCTGTCCAGCACCACCGACAATTTTGAATATTATTTACCATGTCTTGATGTCGGATTGGGCATATTCCTGGTAGGACAATTTAGGACGTTTGGAAAATAGCGTCGGACATGTCCGGAATATACGGACAAAATCCCATCATTGCTCTGTCCTGCACCACTGACAAGGGGACACATCACTCTGTAATGCACTACTGACATGGGGACATCACTCTGATACTTACATCGAGGTATGTTAGACCACTCCCCACCAGGAATAGATACTTACATCAGGGTATGTTAGACCACTCCCCAATAGGAATAGATACATTGAGGTATGTTAGATCACTCAACCCAGGATACTTATGCTGAGGTATGTTAGATAACTCCCCCGACCAAAGGAATGGATAGGTAGATTAGACCACTCCCCCTCCAGGAATAGATACTTACATCGAGGTATGTTAGACCACTCCCCCCATACTTATCTCAAGGTAGGTTAGACCACTCCCCCTCCAGGAATAGATACTTACATCGAGGTAATGTTTAGTTTGTCTAATTGTCTTATTATTATGAGCTGCTATCTGTAAATTCTCCTGATACTGTTGACAGTTCTGACCTTGGTGTATCGCTTTACAAGTTAAACAGTTCTCTTTATTACACACCGGACACAGAAAGAAATTAACGAGATCTTCGTAAATACACCAGCCATGACAGTCTGTGGTGGCACAATGATAACTATTGGTTGCCTGACTTTCTGCCGTCGTTAAACTTCTCTGTAATATTTGTTGGAATATCTGATCATTCACTAACTGGAGGAAAATAAAAATACCATAAATTTACTAGTAATTATTCACATATAATAAATGTTTGAACTGGAGAGAGAGAGAGAGAGAGAGAGAGATGGGGTTTAATGTCCACTCGACACAAACTAGGTCATTTCGGGACTAACAAATGTTGAACAGGCGATCCTACTCCTTGTGACGGACAACCGTGGAATCGAAACCACGCCAGTTGACTCAATCACAGACCTTATGATGCAGCGCATGCACGCTAACCATTCGGCCATCCAACCCCCCAAAGGGGAAAGCACATTGAAGATCTTTCTCCATGAATACCGAGATCGAAATCTGAACTTCCTGACCTTAGTCACTGACTTGACATTGTTCCTTACCAGACCCTCCATCACGCATGACAACTAACAAAACCACACCGAAATACCTGAGAAATTTCTCGACAAATTTTACTTACTGCTCTTATTTCTCTTTCTTGCATCACAGATTCACACGTGTATGTCTCATCCTGATATGGACATTTTAATTCTGCTTCTTCCGCATGTTGGGCGGCTCCCATTAAACACTCCCTAGAAAATAACAGGCATTTGATTATCTCCCCATGACTTATCAAAGACTTTCAATTATCTCCCTTTGGCATATAAAAGGCATTTAGTTATCTCCACTTGTCACATTACAGGCATTCAATTATCTCCCCTTGACACATTAAAGGCATTCAATTACCTCCCCTTGACACAGTAAAAGCATTCAATTATCTCCATTGACACACTAAAAATCATTCAATTATCTCCCCTTGACACATTAGGATCCAGACCACCATTAAATTTAACCATCTCGGTACCCACAATTGGATAAAACATTGGCTACTCACCTACAGAACATATGTAGACAATCTCTAAGTACCACACCATCACCAATGGCAATACGTTCGAAACAGATCGGACAATCAAACACCTCAGAATTCGATATCAGATCAATGTCATCTGTTACGAGTAATTCTGAAAATCTTTGTAATCTTTCTGCTTCATTTCTCTGTAAAATAAAACAAATTGGGGTTTAAAGTTACAATTTCATATTTTTAAGTTATATTTTTATAATTTATTAAAATAAAGCCTTAAAATAGATGGTATCTATAAACAGTCCTACCTTGTTAAAAAATAATCCTATTAATCCTATAATTCACTATTGCCAGTTGAGAAATTTAAGTGTGGGAAATAATGCCTATGATCGTATAATAGTGAGTTGATAACCTATTGAGCAAAAGACATAGAAATAATTATGTTTTGACTTTCTTAGAAAATGTGAAATTCTCGCTTTAACGATCGATCTATTGTGCTGCAACAACCGAACCTATGAAGACGTGCTATGAGGGAATTTTGCGTGGACAGCACCTACTCCTCAAGACGACAATCTGGTTAAAACACAGATCCTATTTCATTTTGTTTTTTATAGTTCAAAATTTCGTTTTACTTGTCTTTACTACACTAGGATCTGAGAGAGTTGTTATATAACCCGCATTCTGGATGATGTGAGGGATTAGCCAATGAAACGGTCTGTTACGGCAAGTTTTTGGCATGAGGTGCACAGAACTTTGGGTAAACCACTAGAAACATTACGAAAAAAAGAGGGAGAAATGGGGTTTAACGTTCACTCGATAGGTTGGACAGGCGACCCTCCTCCTTGTCATGTACAACCGGGGATTCGAAACCACGCCAGTCGACTCAATGACACACTTTATGATACAGCGCGCGCACGCTAACCATTCAGCCATCCAACCCCCCTAAACCACTAGAAACATCACGAAACAAAATATAGATCTGTATTTTAATCAGATTGCCAGCAATCAGTGTGCTATGAGGGAAATTTTGCCATGGCAGTGGCACTAGGTCCTACTCTTGTATCGAATTCCAAATGCCAGGGAATCTTTTATGTGCATGCTAATGTATACACGGAACCTTGTTTTTTTGTCCCATCCGAACGACTAGACAGCTGTCCTTGGCCGGGCCCCCCTGTCCTGCACCACTGACAAGGGGAAACCACGCCAGAAAATCCTGATGAACTTTCTCGACCAATGCAGGGATGGAACATGCGAAAACATTGTTCGATCATTCCACAAAGGTTGTCGCATATACAAGGTAATTGATCAAGAGTAATAACTCGTGGAGTATTTATCAGAGTGAGATAGAGAGAGAGAAATGGAGTTTAACTTCCACTCAACACAAACTAGGTCATTTCGGGACTAACATATGGTTTAATTTTATTTCCATAATTCGCTTGCGCGTAAGGGTCTTTAGCAGTGGGAGGAAACCGGAGGACCCAGAGAAAACCCATGAGGTTGGACAGGTGACCCTACTCCTTGTCACATCCAACCGGGGAATCGAAACCACACCAGTTGACCCATTGGCCATCCATCCCCCCAGTATTTATCAGAATCATGTTACTAAAACTTTTGTTGGTTTCTAGTTCTTCCTAGTGATGACATTTATTATAGTCTCGATCACCCATAACGTCCTAGTCTTCAACATATGGAGGGTCTGGGACTGTTGTCAATATTTGATGAAAAGTTACATTGTCCATGCGTAACCGGGAGTCTGGTTCTATATGTGGTTGATTATTCAGTATCTTTGGCCAAATCAAATAAGAGACGCACCCCTTACCGCAATAAATCCCATAATTCTTGCATTATTATAAACAAACATGAATGGTGACGGCGAAATAGTATTAATTAACCAGCGGCTGCCAGGCAGGATACCTCCACATTTTCGAGAGATGGATAGAGAACAAGCTAAAAAGAAAGTGATATTTCCTACAATCAAGGGCCATAATTCAGGAAATTACAATTCGATATGTGCAAATATCGAAAGGAACCGAGATCTTTGGGTTATAAACTTACATTTCAAGTTTCAACAAAATCAGATAAAAATTGTGACCTCTATAGGGTCCACAACCTTGATATACCATATTTTTACGCTATTTGAGAACGAGGAGCGGCCATTTTGTCTGTCAGTTTTGGGCCGATTTTCAAGAAATACGAACACACCCGTCCTTAGGGTGTAACGGTGATATAATAATATGTTTTTTAAAATCGGATAAACATTATGACCTCTATAGGGTCCACAAGCTAAAAACGCGATTTTTTGTACAATCAGGGGCCATATTTCAGAAAGTTACAGTCCGATATGCACGAATATCGGAAGGCACTGAGATCTTTGGTTTATAAACTTACATTTCAAGTTTCAACAAAATCGGATAAAAATTGTGACCTCTATAGGGTCCACAACTTTGATATACCATATTTTTACGCTATTTGAGAACGAACGGCGGCCATTTTGTCTGTCAGTTTTGGGCTGATTTTCATGAAATTCGAACTCAGCCGTCCTTAGGGTTTAACGGTGATATAATAATACGTTTTTTTAAATCAGATATAAATTATGACCTCTATAGGGTCCACAAGCTAAAAACGCGATTTTTCGTACAATCAGGGGCCATAATTCAGGAAGTTACGGTCCGGTATGCGCAAATTTTGAAAGGAACCGAGATCTTTGTGTTATAAACTTACATTTCAAGTTTGAACAAAATCGGATAAAAATTGTGACCTCTATAGGGTCCACAACCTTGATATACCATATTTTTACGCTATTTGAGAACGAAGGGCGGCCATTTTGTCTGTTAGTTTTGGTCCGATTTTCACAAAATTCAAACTCAGTCGTCCTTGGGGTGTAACGGTGATATAATAATACGTTTTTTTAAATTGGATAAAAATTATGACCTCTATAGGATCCACAAGCTAAAAACGCGATTTTTCGTACAATCAGGGGCCATAATTCAGGAATTTATGTTCCGATATGCACGAATATCGAAAGGAACAGCGATCTGTGGGTTATAAGCATCAATTTCAAGTTTAAACCAAATCGGATGAAAATTGTGACCTCTACAGTGTTCACAAGCTAAAAACGTGATTTTTACGTACAATCAGGGGCCATAATCCACGAAGTTACAGTCCGATACATACCAATATGGAAAGGAACTGAGATCTTAGGGTGATAAACCTATATTTCAAGTTTCGTTGACATCGGATAAAAATTGTGACCTGTAGACTGTTCAGAAACAAATGTGGACGGACGGACGGACGGACGGACGGACAGGGGTGACGACAATATACGTCCACATGAAAATGTGGGCGTATAAATAGGGCATAGATATGGCCCATGAAGAAAGAATAAATTAGGAGTGGTGGATATAGAACTGGCAATACATTTCTGGATGATAGAGACTAATAATAACCAGGCACGGCACGGTTAATTTTTATGTAGTGTAAACGGGTCAAATATAAGCGTGCTGTACTGAATACCGCGGTAATTTGGCCCACTGGAGTGAGATGGTCTAGGCACGGTATAGTGCTATCCTGTCTGAGAATGGTTCTCAGTACTGTGCATGCGCCAAATGAACCTTGACCTTATTTTCCCACGAACTTTGACATTTCTGTCAAAATGGCTGCCCTAACAAAATCAACCACCATAATTGTTTTCATCCGGTTAATTTGCATAGGGACTGAAATTAACTTTTCTGTGAACTGTTCCACACTTGGTGTGCCTGGCACGGTTCCGAGACTGTGTATTGTAGAGTAATATAAACGGATCAATTTATTAGAATTTTATCGCAGTTAACGTCCACTCAACACAAACTAGGTCATTTCGGGACTAACACATGGTTCAACTGTATTTCAATAATCTGGTTGCGCGTAGCGGTGGGAGGATACCGGAGAACACCCATGAGGTTGAACAGACGACCCTACTCCTTGTCACGTACAACCGAGGAATCGAACCCCGCCAGTTGACTCAATGACAGACCGTATGATACAGCGCAGTCCTGAAGGCTAACCTACCGCGCAAATTCCAGCCAGCATAATGTATCTACATAAGAAACATTTATTCCTATTGGCGATTTACAAACAGTCCCAAAGCCTAGCCTACAATTTAATATCCAGCCAGCATTATGTACCTATATAAGAGACATTTATTCCTACTGGCGATTTACTCCTTGTCACATACAACCAGGCAAACAAAACCATGCCAGTTAACTCAATGACAGACCATATGATGCAGCGCACACGCACTAACCATTCCCCCCACCCCCACCCCTGTTATTCAATGTTAATTCAAATAAAAGAATATTATGAAATATCTATGTTGTTTTCTTCATCATTTTAATTAAATCAATATCATTTCAAATAATCACTTATTGATAGGATTCCCCCTTATGCTGCAATTTGATGATATGAAAATATCAACATGAAATCTTGTAATAATAAATAATATTTTATTTTCAACAATTATTTGAGCAGGTAGAATATTTACAGGACTAAATAAATAACTTCTCATGTTAAACATGCATTATTCAGTGAAAACATACGGAATAGTAGTTGTGTTTAATATATAGGTAGGAACTGTAGAAATTTATAAATGTATGACAAAGACCATACAAATAAAGCCATTTTGTTATTCAATGACAACTGAGACAATCGTTAGATAGCTCGCTCTATATATATGGCTGTGGAAACTCTTATAGGTCATTTTGGGACTAACATATGGTTTAATTTTATTTCAATAATTCACTTGCGCATAGGGGTCTTTAGCAGTGGGAGGAAACCGGAGGACCCAGAGAAAACCCACAAGGTTGGACAGGCGACCCTATTCCTTGTCTCGAGCTAACTATTCAGCCATCCAACCCCCCCTATACTCTTAAATGACTTCCCGGAGGTAAACCTGCCTATTGAAGGTATTTTTTCTAACTTTAAATGTTATATAAATTATTATTTCGACATTTATTAACATGCCAAGCTTATAATCAACTCTCTAGACAATCAGAGGACAGAGACTTAGTCTCGTTTGTCCAGTACCGCTATCAACACTCAATATAGCCAGAGTGGCCAGCTCTTTATCTAAATCTTACATAATGTATTTTTAAGAAAACCCTTAGAACAATATTTTCATCTGTACAAATTCTTGGTATACGATTACATATTTACAGTA